CCTGTTCGTTACGTTTGTTATTATTCACCCAATTGCTCATAGCTGGGGCAAAGTGAACTGGTTGTTCCTTCTTCTTTAAGCAGGATATTGTTTCTTGACTGCTAGGGATGCTTCCTCTAAGTGTAAAAATAGGTTTTTATCAAATGTCTGCGCCAGTCGGCAAAATACCATCCAATACTTCCCCTAGGTATCTCCTAAACTATTTTGAATGTTTTGTAAATAATTCTCAAGAAACTGTGACCTATTATAGTCTTTTGAATTATCGAATTCGTGAGTGCCTGACTGGAATTGTTTCAGTGGGACAAACACTGAAGAAGTCCGATTTGTGGATCTAACAACAAGTGCTATATGACAAGATCCCACTTTAGCATGTAGCAGTAAATGAGTCATTAAGCTAAATAGTTCTGTGAGTCTTCGTGTTGGTGCTGATGTAATTAGTTATACTGAACATAACCTAGCTGATGGCTAGGTTACTCATTCGTACCAAATCACAAGCGGGCTTATCGTATATTCTGAGCGTGGTCTCGTCTGGAACATCCTTAAAAAATCTCGCGAGAAGTTTTTCCACGGAGGAAATATCATCGTGCAAGATATACCAGAAAACACGGACCTTCGTCACATAAACTCTGATGTTAGGGAATGGAAATTCATCAAACAATCCTTGGAGCTCAGGAACGTATTGACTCAACAAGTGGTGAGACTAACTAAGAAGGACGGGGATTATAGACCCCGGCTGATGTAGATAACCTTCCCATGCTCCCATATGGCGGCCGCAACTCTGTAAGCATTTCGTGCCAACAGACGCCGGTTACCAACCGGGATCCAAATGCATCCGGATAGGCCACAAGACGCCAGGATCAAGCACAAATACAAGTTGGAGCTGACCATTCCACTTGTGGGCTGTCCTGATAATAAAAAACGTGCAAAGGACAGAAGCTACTAACTCGGAAAACCTTGTATAGTTAGGTTACCTTTTCATTCACATAAAACTGATACACCTAAGTAGGGCGGGGAAGCCCAGACATTCCAAATCGAAAGCATAAACTGCTTATATATGGACACAGCGAGTTTACCAAACAAAATTGATGAACTACATGAGTAATGCTAATATTGCTCATTTAAGAGGAATATCTTAAACTTGGATATCTTCTCACTTTACGGACCAGGAGCCTGCAAAGCCCGGGATGTCCTTGTTTCGCAGTTGTAGAAAAACAGGGATGAGGGCGGGGTAGTCTTATGCTTGCGATCTTGTCTGGAGTTACATCAGGCGCACAACCAAGAGTTTATCAATCTTGATGAATCTGTATGGTGCTCAATAAGATTATCTTCCACCTCAAGGTGTCTAGTTGGTCATCTGCAGGAAGCCCACTGCTGACAACGAGTAAGACAATCACATGCTGGAAGAGTTACCCGGCTCTACTCGTCTCAGATTCCTTCATATCCTGACTCTAGGGGACTTCAATCTTCCTAAAGTCAGTTTCGCGGAACATACGTATATTGGAGGTGAAAACTCTACTGAATTTCGGTTCTTCAGCCTTATTGAAGATCTAGAATTATTCGAAAATGTGAAGTCACCAACTCTGTTGAGAAACAGTCAGATGCCGTCACGCTTAGACCGTTTATTTACAAACGAAGAATTCCTAATTGACAACTTTTCGATCCTGGCTTCCCTAAGGAAAAGCGACCACGCCGACATAGCTTTTAGTTTCATCAGCAAAACTGAGCTAAAACATCCTACCAAAAACAGGCGCTGGAATTTCAAACGGTTGAATGTTTCAGCTTTACAGGACTATCTGCAACAGGTGGATTGGGAAGTTCACCCTCAACTTTACGTGGATACTCATTGGGATTTCTTACTGCACAAAACAGTCTGTCCCACTTACGGTCCCTGAAATCTACAAGCAACCTACAATCATCAAGAACTGCACTCTTCGTTTGCTAGGCCGCAAAAGGCACTGCTGGATGGAATACGAACGAACTGGTAACAACGGCGCACATGGGCAATACAAACAAATAAGGAGCATATACACAAAGGCAATAAGAGAAGACAGGCTTCAGTATCAGATCAAGTTTACCGATACAATTGACTTCAATATGAAAAGCTTATTCCGTTATGCAGCCTCTCTTCAACAGGTCAAAATTGAAGTTTCTCAACTGCTAGGCCCTAATGGCCAAACTAGTAACGACGGTGACGCCTATAAACTTCTGACTGAACTGTACTCTTAGACATTTCAATCGACCCACACTAATGATGAAAGCTTCATTTGTAATTCCGCAGGTTCTTCACAGGTGAACCGAAGCGCTGACTTGGTGTGCAGCACCAAATTTATATCTGTCCTCCTGGTCCCCATATGGTCCATTCTGCTATACTGAGGCAAGCTGCTTCAATCTTGGCAACACCGCTTGGCGTGCTGTTCTCGCTCTGACTGAGCCGTAGCAAATTACCAGAGATTTAAAAGCTGTCTCACATCACACCAATTTTCAAAGGAGGTCGACGCAGAGAACCTTCAAGCTATCGACTGGTGGTCCTTCTCTCTATACCTTCAAGAAGTATGGAGTCCCTGATATGCGACGGTATACTCGACCATTTATTATCCTTAAACTTCTTTTCACCCCAACAGCATGGTTTCAGGAAGGGTTATCATTGTATAATCAACCTGCTGACTGCGGTGGACAGATGGACAGTTATCCTTGATCGCAAGGGCAAGGGCGATATCATTTACCTTGATTTCCCAAAAGCTTTTGATAGGGTCAACCATATATACTTATCATTAAGCTAAATCGATTGGGTATCAAATCACCTCTAATTGACTGGCTCACTTCGTATCTAAAAAATCGACATTTTAAGGTCAGGGTTAACTCCGTTTTTTCTCACGCCATGGAATGTCCTATTGGTGTCCCCCAACTGGTACTTTAGGATGATTTGACTCGGTTTCAAAGTCGGGCAGATGACAACGGACATACCTTTAACAATTCAAAATGTAAAGTAGTCTATCTGAGAGATGTTTCAGACTATAGCTACAAATTAGGTAACTCCCCTTTAGAAGTATCCCGAGTTGAAAAAGATCTTGAAGTGTTGGCACCCTATGATTTGAAGCTTCACGCTAACTGTGACAAAAACGCCTTTCGAGCAAACCTTGCACTAATAACATTGAAGCTCATTTTTGGCCTGTTTGACGGAAGAACTTTCCACATACTCTTCAACAGTTTCATTCGTTCCCATTTAAAATACGGAAACATAGTATTTCCTCCCTTACTCCAAAAGGATAAGGACACTCTGGGACGTATCCAATGACGAGTTACGAAATCTGTTCTAGGACTCAAATTCATGCCTTATGAAGAGCGCCTCCAATCACTGAAGCTGTACCCATTAAAGTACAGGCGTCCTAGTGGTGACCTTTGAATGGCTTACGACATCCTAAATACTTCTGGACATCTCTTTAAACACCTACTTAAGTTTAGTTTCAACACAAACGTAAGGGGTAACACCCAGAAACTGGAGACACAACACGGCAGAACGGATTCAAAAGGTTCAAATGGTTGTGGACGGAATAGAAGAAGCTTTCGCTTAACAGGCTTCCGTGTCTAGTAGCAGGGGATCACCAAATCCTCCAGGCAGGAACCTAGGTATGTTAACAATAAAAAAGGAAAAGAAATTGGTAAATCATAGTGTGATGCTGTCCTTGGTCCTTAAGAATAGGTCGAGTTGCCTCTTGAAGGACTCCTGAGAAGTTGCTTGGACTAGCTTGGCTGGTAGCGAATTCCAGATTTTGACAGCTCTTAAGGAGTAGAAGTTGTGTCTACATTCCGTCTTGCTATGTTGTGTTTCCAGTTTCTGGGTGTTACCCCTTAGATTATTACTCGAACTAAGCTTAAGTAGGTGTTTAAGAGGATGTCCAGAAGTGTTAAGAATACTATAAGCCATTAACAAATCACCTCTAAGACGCCTATACTTTAGTGGGTAAAGGTCTAGTGAATGGAGGCGTTCTTCGTAAGGTTTAGATTTGAGTCCTCGAACTGATTTCGTGGCTCGCCGTTGGATACGCTCCAAAGTGACCCTGTCCTTTTGGAGTGAGGGAGGGAGTACTATGTTTCCGTACTCTAAATGGGGACGGATGAAACTATTGAAGATTGTATGGAAAGTTCGTCCGTCAAACTGTCCAAAAATGCGCTTCAACGTTACCAGTGCAAGGTTTGCTCGGAAGGCATTTTTGTCACAGTTAGCATAAGACTTTAAATCATGGGGCACCAGGACTCCTAAATCTTTTTCGACTTGGGATACTACTAGAGAGGAGTTTCCTAAGTTGTAACTGTAGTTTGCGACATGTCGCAGATGGACTACTTTACACTTTGAAGTGTTAAAGGTGAGTCCGTTATCGTCTGCCCAACTTTGAAGTCGAGTCAGATCCTCCTGAAGTGCCTGTATATCGTCTTGGTTGCGTATCTCTCTCCAAAGTTTCACGTCGTCGGCAAAAAGTAATAAGTCTGACGTTACCTGTTGAGGAAGATCATTTATGTAGATCAAGAAGAGAAGAGGCCCTAGTACTGAGCCCTGGGGGACCTCACTAGGACATTCCATAGCCTGAGATAAAGTGAAATTGACCCTAACCTTAAAGTGTCGATTTTTTAGGTATGAAGTAAGCCAATCGATTAGAGGTGGTTTGATACCTAGTCGTTTGAGCTTATTGGTAAGACACAAGTGGTTAACCTTATCAAAAGCTTTTGAGACATAACTTTTACTCCTTAAGAGTCGTCAATTACTGGAATTCGCTGCCAGCTGAATCAATGCAAGCGACTTACCAGGCGTCCTTTAAGAGTCAACTTGACATATTCTTAAAGTATCTCACTATTTTTTTCTTTTTCCTCTTTTATACACAGGTTTCTGCCTGGAGGTATTGGCGATCCACTTCTACCAGGCACGGAAGCCCAACCAGCGAAAGCTTCTTCTATTCCGTCCAAAACCATTTGAACTATTCGAAGTTTGTTTTTATTCATTAATAGTACTAGTAAGCGCGCGTCTCCTAGATTGTCTTAGTCGTGGTGTTAGCTGTGCGTGCCCCACAAGTAGTATGTCTATAGTAGATGATGAAGAATTTGCAACTGGAGATTCTGGGGCTTCAAAAACTTTACCGAAACAGTGTAGTTCTTTGAGGAAAGGCGGATATGTCGTAATGAAAGATCGTCCTTGCAAAATCGTGGACATGTCTACGTCGAAGACCGGGAAACATGGCTCTGCGAAAGTGCACATAGTTGGGATCGATATATTCACTGGTAAGAAATATGAAGAGAATCGCACATCATCACACACTATGGATGTACCTGTGATAAAAAGTGAGGATTATCAACTGGTGGATATCAAAGACGGGTTCTTGTCACTAATGGGCGACGATTTATGCGTCATCGAAGATATTCCCGTTCCTGACAATGAAGTTGGAAAGGAATTAAAGGAAAAATGGAATTCAAGAGGGGAGACAGAGAATATGATTGTAAGTTGCTTCGTGGGTAATAAAGTTCTTTCCTAGGTCACTATATTATCTGCTATGGACGAAAGGCAAGCACTAAAAGTTCGTACTACTTCAGACAAGTAAACAGAATCCCATTTGAATAAAATTTCACACGACACTAAGTAAAATTTTTTTATTATGTTTGAGAAAAAAATATATTTCTAGTGTTATTTGAATCAGACCTTAGTATCTCGTAGTCAATAAGGCTTCACTCCCCGCTTAATAGTTTCAGAGTCATACGTGGCACCGACATGTTCATCCCATGCTTTCCTACATTTGGCGACAATCCATGTATGCTCCTCATGGTCTAGTACATCAATAGTATATCACCAAACCTACCTGCATTGCGAAGAAAACATCCGTTATGATCTGTCACTACTCTCGTCAATGGATTGTAGAAACCATCACCAGTATCGTAGCATCCGTCTGGTATTTGTGTTCTTGGTTCTTTGTCTACTATTTGTGACCTTCCTGCAAAATAGAGAAATGTGTTGCTTGAAATATGAATAATTGCAAAACACTATCGTGGCTCTTTTACCTAAATCTGGTTTCTGAGATGTTGCCAACTACGACTAAGTATCGTCACTCACCCAGTTCGTTGGTGACCTGAATAATATATAAACTTGGTAGGTTGAGACACTTGCGACTATATCTGCAAATCCGATATCTACTTAGTGCAACAACACGGTTGATAGATAAGTGATGCTTGTGGATGGCGTCAATTTCGGCTGGATACAAGGTCACTAGTTATCCTCGTTATTAGTCTGTCCGAAGTGTTGTAGTGGTAACATCTTTCAAACTAAGTAATTTCGCGAAACATTTGTCTAGGCAGCCGGGAAGTATCACAGCCCCTACACATCAATGACAACTGCCACCGGCCTCGTTATTGTGTGGCACACATGTATTTGGTGTCTGGTTGTGCCATTGTTTATGTACAAAGAGTACCGTTAATCGTCACTATTAGGTGCTGTGATAAACATTTTGTACCACTAGTAATTAATGAAGAGTAGATTTCGTCGGCGATAGTGACAGTAAGCTAAAATATCCACGCCGTTTGGCTAGTTCGAGTCCAGCTTTGTAGTTCTGGTCTGTCCATCACATCTGCTAGCTGCTGATCGTACATAACAGGTATTCCATAACTGGTTTTTATGTTTTTACAGGACTCGCTAGTTAATGAGTACTTAAATGACTAGTGACACTTTTAGGCATAGTGGTGGATTACACTGTGAGACAACGTTATATTTTGGTTTTGGCGTTAAGTAGACAAACGCAACTTCAGTCGGTTGGGGTTAAGGGTTTCTTAAGATGTCTAAAAGTTCCCCATGTACTACTAGATTGTCATCCGCGTACTTAAAATCGCTTTTCCTCGAAAAGCTTGAGGAAGTCTCCCTGAGCTTACCTTTAGTACCGTGAGTGAATTTAGTAGTCAGAATCATAGTCGGCGCTACTTCACGATAGTGAATGGAATAAGAATTAGGACTATGATGTGCCAACTTTAAGCTTTGTTTGCCCGGGATACTCTAACAGGTGAGTTCGTTTTGGGTTAATTTATCAGCTTCTTAAGAAAACCCTAAGTCACCTGTCAGCGATCTACGCTGTTTTTGCTTTTGAAAAGTTACTCGGCAGCAGTACTTTCTGTCCCGCAACTAATTAGCGTTGATGCGTCGAGCTCACAAAGTCGTCTCTGCTTTCTTCAGAGTGGACCTCATGTATCAAAGTTTTCGGTGTCCCTATTATCCCATGTTGCACCTCAGGCCTTATGTAAAACCCTGTGATTTCTTGTCTAATAAACAAAGAACCTGTAGAATCAGTCCAAACGACCCACAGTTACTCTTCAGTTTCTGTCTTGCTTCGAAATCAAGAGATCCTAAGTATTTTCAACAATGAGGGTTCAATATTATTAGCGTGAGGGAGTTGAACATTATTCCTTTTGATGCATATTGGCCCGATTTCATGAGAAAAAGTAAGTACTAGTGAACAGGAAACAGCGTGATCAATAAAGATGTACGAACCATATATTTTCTAGCCATTTAGCTGTAGCTTCATGTCACAGTGCTCTATACCCGGGTACTTAGGTAGGGTCCTACGTCAAATCGCTATCTCCATTGATTACATCGAAGGATGCTCATATTCGTCTGATCCTACTGTCCAGTGTGGTGTCATATATTCCTACATGTAACCACTTTCGTTTTGCCTTGTGGTTCTTCTTTTACGTATACTTTCTATGGAAATAGAGTACCTTGATTACAGTTATCATCACCTTGAACGCACTACTTACCGAGATCACTCACTTCACATATACAGAATGTCGCCTCACCTTTTGCAAGGCGGCATTATTTAGTTTGATTATTAATAGGAATGAAAGTAGTTAGGAACGTTGACTGTTCCACTTATTTTACTCATCACCTACATTAGAGCTAAATAAATAGTGATAAGTTCACACCTGAAGTATTGGGTAAAAGGCGCTAATTGATATTACATTATAATTAATATTACATCGACCAATGCATTAGGATCGTGTGCTGTGCATCCCCGGCTACCGTTGATAACGTGATCTACAAGCCAGTACAAAATTAAGTCATTTATAGACTTGACACGGATGTTCATCAAGTCAAGTTGCTTCACCCACTGTGAATACACCTGAAGCGGAAATTAATAAGACGAAGACAGGCAATGTTGTTCGTTGTAGTATGCGGGTAAAGATAGCTGCTGTCCAGAAAAAAGACGGATGAAGTCAGAGAATAGAGTCATGGGTGCGCACTTCTGAGTCTCACACTGAGACGAAACTGCCGTCCGGTAGTCCCAGGTTGCCAACGGTGGCCTAACATCGATCAGCCTATGATCTCAATCAAAAACTTAACAGTCTCCATACTGCTATGTAGAGTAACGCTATCGGGATTGGGAGAGAGGGGACACATTAAGCCATAAGCCAATGCATGCCAGGTGGCGGCTCTGATCATGAAATACGATCGTTTCGCGGATTTTAGACAAGATGTCTGGGCCTGCCGATATGTCTCATGCCAGGAGTTACTGATTTCCCTAACTGGTGGTGTCTTTATCTGTCTCCTCTTAACTTTTTTCCGACTGTCTGTATCAACTTGTAAATCGCATTCAACCAGGTTCCCATTGATCATTGAGTAGTGGCACCCCATAACCTGCTTAAATTCTAGTTTGCACAGATCTTATGGTTAAAGTGATAATATTTGTGTAAGTGCTTAGAAGTACAGTATAAGAAGCTCGGTAAGTAGCATTTGGTTATCAACCTCTTTGAAACACAAAGCATATACGTCAGCACCTATAAATCGAAATTAATGGGGCAGATTGGGTTTCCCTGGATATTGAATGCCAATCATTGATTAAGCTGACATTTTTTGTGATATCCCAATGAGTAGAAAACTATTCCTGACGTTTCGTGATGTAATTTTAGCCACTTCTTCAGAGTAGATAACCGAAACAAAATTAGCTCTAGTTCGAAAATTACAAACAAGACATCGTTTCTTTTGGGATATGACAGAAAGCATATTTATCATTAAATTTTTACCAGATGATCAATTTATTCGAAACTATCAAGTCCAACATTGGCATTGATACATGGAAACTAATTAAACTGCTTATACGATAACTCAAGTAATTTGGGAAGCAACACACCTAGATAAGTCAAAATCCTGGTTTGTGGAATATATATGGTGTTTAGTTAACACACAGAAACGCCACACTTAGCCGTAATCCTTTTATCGCACTAAAGGTCCAATTAAGGATCTTTGGTAGATGTTCCACTATTTAGCCACTCAGTCGTAATAAAACCTACTAACAAGCTTTTATGAGACCTAGAAACTCAGTCTTTCGCTTACTAAACCGATAACACATAAAACTCCAACAAACCTAGTGTAAGTCTGGATCGCACTATACATCATCCAAGTTATTAGTTAGTAATTGGGACCATAATACGTCTAGTCTTTATTTATGCTTATCAAGAGGACTTTTTAAAATGTTAGTGAATTTTATTATTTACCACGTGGAACTGATAACTGTTTTACACTTAAGCGAGTTATAATTCTACCCTAGAAAATCTCATGGGCACATAAATAGTTAATTTTATATGGATAAAAATGTTGGCGTTGGTTTAAATACAGGTCATAAAGTATCACAATCAGAATGTTCATTCGTGAAGACGAAAGGTAATAAAAGCATCAGTTGTCATAAGTTTCTTGCTCAAGATTTTTAGCTCCTACAAATCAGGAGAAAATTTCCATTTGGATAGCAAATTTTCAAGCGTTTACACCAACGGGGGTTTACATACCTATGATCACAGAATCTACATGAAAATCACAAAGTCTCCTGTCAGTGTTATTCTTATTACTGGCTAACGCACATCATCTTTAAGAGTAGAACTAAAAACAATAGTTATTTGATACAGACTACCGTGTAGAAATAAGCTTCTATGGTCACATAGTATATTTTTTTATAGGAAAAGTGACATCGAGTTAATCGGTCAAAAACTTTAAACGATTAGGCATTTTTGTCTGACAAATGTAAAAGCCCGTCGGGTGGCTTCGAAAATGATCCTTAGGGGAGATTCGTTTTAGGAGAGCTCTTGTTGAACCATTTAGCGGGCAGATCCATCGTTTTTTGTATGCGCATGCATCGTTCCCTAGTTTCTTCACGAATTATAGCCTTTTTATATTAGAAGGCAAATAACAAAACACTGCTAAACCACATTAAAACAAAATATATTTATTAGGGCTGACTTTTATGGCGCTGTTTCGTCACACATTTCAGTCTAACATTTACCTGGTTCCCCTCATTTCGGTTTTAGATAATTACCTGGATGGGTTTTCTCATTTCGTTTACTTAAATGTTTGGCACAACTGTGATTAATATGTTTTGAGCATGGTTAAATCGACAAATATGTAGGGTTGATTACTGAGACATATCAATTGATTCTACTGATTCGTTTATAAAGACATTTTATATTCGCTAGTACTTGTCCGGGTAATTTTCGTTACCTGAATATTCTGAATCTGACCGATTGCGTCTCAATAAACCTGTCTGAATGATCTCCCTTAAACATCACTAATTGTCTCAACGTATTGACCCAATCTAGGTTGAAGCTGACCTTATCGGAACGCAATCATCCTGTGCATATGTACCTTCTTGCTTTTTAAAAAAACCCAGATAGAGTTGGTCATAGCACTCCAAGCTGGAAACAACCTCATGGATACTAGCATACGTATGGAGCGTCTTTTAGGTTACTTAAGCGGGAAGTCACAAGCCATTCAAGCTCGGACTTCATTGGAGTGACAAGTGGAGTGCGGCGAGCTCAGTCCTTAGACTACTCTTCCTATCGTCTAGTAACGGCGTATCATGTATTCTATAACCTCAAACTCTGTAATATGTAAGTCTCGAGATTTGGAGGGGTCCATTGGGTCCCGCTCGTATTTTGACGTTTAGAGAAGACTTACATAAGATATACGACTGAACCACCAGGAACTCCTTTTCATACCAGTAAATAAAAAACGCTAGTGCTGAACAGTAGTGATATATCCGCCTCTGAATTTCTAATTGATACCACTATCACGGAAATCGACCTGGTAATAATTCTGTAGATATGTCGGTCCGTTTCTATTTTAAAACCAATACGGTATACTCTGACATTAGGTTTCTTTCTAGAACTTTAGGTAACCTGACTCCGGAATTACTGGGAACCGTTTTAGATGTTTATTTAAGATCTCATCTGGCAATGACTAGATGATGTTTCCTTACTAGAAAGAAAAGATATCACGGCCTTGAGGCATGTCCAAAGGAGAACAACGAAAATGATAGAACAGGGAATATACCTTACTCAACTCACGTGAAGACAGTTAGTTTGCAACTAATACTGTGTTAAAGGGACATGACCAATAATATATCATATGGTCTACAGCCCTTTTCACCTCAACAGATCATTGATAGGCTTGAAAAGTAAGGTGCATCTACTTAGGATAGAACATGGAAGAGATTGCACAAAAATCCATCCAAACGTTATCGTGATTAGAATCACAGTTATGAAACTCCACACAGTAAGTGATTGTGATTGCACCTTCCGATAAATCTTTTCGAAGGCCTGACGTCTGTTTTGGTTTCATAAGTACTGAGGCGTACTGCTCTAGGTGTTATTCCTCGATCACAGCCATTACTAATTGTTTCTCCGTTCCGATTTAGAATAAATACAACAAGTCCAAGACCTCTGTCTAAAGCCCATATGCAAATCTGGAGTGACAAACTAATTGCTTCTTGTGTGTAACAGATTTCGAAGTCTGCGTTATCGATTCTGTAATACTAGTAGTGACGACTTAATTTCCTTAGCATTTCTTCAAGAGTTTGAACATGACAGGTATAAAACGCAACCATTCCTACCCATATTCAAAGAACTTAATAACTCCAAGGGTTTTACCTGCAGGCTTTATACCAGAACATATTTCCGTATAAAATCTCCTGTCGAATTCGTCGACGTAGTGAGCACCTTCTGTGTATTTGAGACCATCTGAAAATATTATCTCTCCCTAAAAAGTCATGAGCGAAAATTCCCAAACATTTTTAGGTTTTCCATTTTCCCACATTGCATGATATTTACTTCCATTCAGAAAGTGGAGAGTTCCTTCTCCGTGAAACATACCGTCAAACATTTCCCCTTCGTAATATGTCCCAGTAGGCATAGCATACTTTCCAAATCCCTCCAACCTTCAGATTAAACTTTAATGAATACCAAACAACCTGTTGTTACGAGTCTCACCCTCATATTTATCACCACAGTATTCCATTTTTATGCTTGAAAATGTGACTACGAACTTGTTGTGGAGATCAATCGTTCGGTTGGTTATAACAAAAATGATCCAAGTCAAAAAGTCATGACTGAACAAAATTTACTAAGAATTAGTTTAGAACAGGTAGACGTGCGTCTCCTACGAAGTTGGAACGTTTCCAATATTTTGCAGACGATCAGCTCGAAATTGCTGAATAGAAGACCTACCAGAACACCAACATATAGTCTATCACTTTCATAACTCATCTGTTAGTTACTGTGTATTACAAGATGCTGCACATCATACCAAACCATAGGACAATTTCTGTTCTGCAAACCAAAATGATAATCATTATAAATGTTAGGGAGATTAGGTATATCTTCATATTCCTAAAATAATCTTACTTGGGACCGTTACTTCTTGTGGAGGAGTACAGGCCGACCACCAGCATTCTTCACTCAACCCTGTCCTAGACAATCCTTTCTAGTTGCTATTCATTCTTTCCACGTCTGCTTCCAAGTCCCGACGCAGTATGCCCTTCGGCCCCCCTCTTTTCCGTTCCCTATCAGGATTTCAGGCTAATGCTTACCTCGTGATGCAGTTTTTGTGTTTTCCACAATGTATGTTCTATACACTTCTAATCTGCTTTCCTAATTTCCACTTCAGCAGGAAGCTCGTTTGTTCTCTTTCACATTAGGCTGTTTCAGACTATATCCGATCAAAAGACATTGAGTATATTACGTAGACAACTGTTTGTAGATAGTTGTACATTTTTGATGATGGTTGTGGTAATTCTCGAAGTTTTAGCTCCGTACGGCAGGACTGTCTTGACGTTTGTGTTGAATATTCTAACTTTGATATTGATTGACGGCAGTTGTTTTGAGTTCTATATATTGTCCAACTGTAGGAATGCTGCCCTTACTTAGCCAATCCTTGCCTTTACATCTGCATCAGATCCTCCTTGTTCGTCGACAGTGCTGCATAGTGAAGATGCCACGGGTATTCGGAGTTTGACAACGCTTTAACCAGCGATACCCTCTGATATGAATCGTACCTACCAAGTGAAATCAAAAGACAGAAGCGAGGAGGTTCGAAGATATATTTGATAGGCTATCAATATATTGAGGATCGTCTGATCTAATCTGGCTAGTGATTACAAGGGTTGTTGAACACGACGTTCCCACTCGTGATCTGGTGCGGATGCATAACCGAGAGCGTTCATCTAGGTGAGTCGATTAAAACTAATGTGGTCAGCGTCCAATGTCGAAGATTTACAGAGTTATTTATTTTGGGGAATTATCTACCGCTACAATGGAAAATTGAAACATTCCTCCTCTACCAGAGCTACACCATCAGGTGTGCTTGCATTGGTGTTCGCCGTGCTGTACTTCAGGATCATGGTTTTTCCTTTATGTATGAGTTCCGTTTGATGTCGACGGTCTTCTCAGGCACATCATATTTTCGAATAAGTTTCCATAATTTTCTCCTATCCACACTGTCAAATGCTTTCTTATAGTCAAGGAAGTTGATGTATGGTGATGTGTTCCATCTAATTGGTTACTCAACGATGATCTGTAGTGTCGTAATTTGGTCTGTGCACGACCGATCTTTACGGAATCCGGTTTGTTGATCTCCAAGTTGGGTTTCTACTGAGTATTTCGTCCTGTTGAGAATTTTTCGTGGTCCCGATAGTATCTTGATGCCCATGTAGTTCTCACACTTGCTTTGAATTTCTCCAATGGCTTATTTAAGGAAACAAGTTGAAACAGAATATTCCCTGAAGATCTCTTTGGTAGACATGGTGTTATACACAGTATTAGCTATCAAATAATGTAGATTGTCCAGCGATATTTGCGGATTGTGAAACAGCAAGATACAAGCTGATTTTTATGTTGGATAAATATGTGCCTAAACAGTTGTTTGGGTTAGATTATAGAGGTTTATGACGTCAGTAAACCTAGTGTCTTTAAATGTATAAGGACTCAATGGAGTCAATCAAATAGCTTGCCGAAAATACAAGGTGGCGGAAGAACTCATAAGTTCATATCTTGCTGTTGATAGTGATATTTACCATATCCAGCACAATCTCATATGATGTATCTCAACTTCGAATGAATAAGCAAGCATATTCAAGCATTGTGACATATTGTAAAATAATTTGAATAAGTTCTTATCTAAGATAACGCTCCACAGGTTGTATTCAGCGGTTTCATTAAGAAGTATATTTCTAACTTCGGCTACTCGTAAGAAGTAACACGTCTGTCAAAGTTAGGTATAAATTATTCCTGGTTGTAACCAAACATTTAAGACTATGTAGTTTCATTTGATCTCAAGCCACCAAGCAACTTGTACGGACGTTTTGATCATTAGTTGGAAGTTCGATTTTCACAGATCCTTCCACAAGTTTATTATCATGTGTTGAATATGGATGCATGACTCATTCGTGTTTGGCACCACACTTCGATTTCATCAGAAACTCTTCGGTGTATAGCCTTTGCCGACTGCTTACTACGTTACATGATGAATAATAAAATTACACAGTACAGATTATATGACGTAGTTCTCTCACTCACTATTTAAATAAATAGTTGTAAGTTCATAGCTATATGATATACCTTTGTGGGTCAGAGTAATTTTACATTGGTTTTCAGGAGATCCAGACACCGTCTAGACTTTCTTGTGACAACCCGAACAGTACACCCCGATCCCATTTAACAGGAGAGGCAGACCACTCAGGCTTAAAATTTGAAGTCCAAATAGTACGGCTCAATCCTGTTTCCAGGAGAACCAGACACCGTATAGGCCATAACGCTGCAATCTGAATAGTACAGCTCAATCCTGTGGCGCAACCACACAGGTACCAAGCTCCCTGGTGGACTATTCGCATCATTCATATACGCATTCACGTCACATGTATATTTATTCTGATTAATGATCGATTATGTACAACACGAATAGGTCAAAGTTGACTTATTCCGCTTACACGACAGTCAAACTCATTAATGTCACCAATGGCGACATGCCTTACAATATTCCAATCACAATAAACCTTGAGAACACTGAAAAGCATCCACCAGTATAAATGAAATCGGTTAACCAGCAAACCAATTTTGTGCATGAACAATCATCAAAACTTGCCAAAGAAATGTCAAACCATCCACAATATCGATGGCGAACCTCCAGTCTCATATGAGACCTTCAGCTCTACATAGCAATATAGCTCATACTACATACAACACATACGCTCGGTAGTAAACGAAATAACCCAGTCTGAAGCGTTAGGGCTTAAATAGCTTTTAAAGCCTATTGTCTAGCTTCGGAATATTATTACCAGACCACAAAAATAATTTTTATCGTGTGTGTGAAATTTTAATTTTTCCGAATTTTCAGAGCCTGAGTTAGGGCTAGTATTTTTACTATTTAAATACAGATATGGAAAATCTGGATTAAAGAAAGGTACTCATCAAGAGCTTATCGAGTGCTTAAATTTTCACCAACTCGAAGAGAGATGTGTATTATGACAGTAAAAAGGCCCACCATGTGGGTTTTTCAACAGATACTTGTCACTTAACGCCCACCTATTTATTTTTGATTTCATGCGGCTATCTATTGGGGCACCATGCATGTGGGCTGCTCCTTAACATATTACACTTATCTTGCAAAAACATCTCGCGTTTTAACTCCCTCCTAAAACATGACGTATTATACGGTGGACTAATCAAAAGTTGACAAATCAAATACTTGTAGAATTATGGTCTACTATGATATTAGTGCTACTCTAATAATAGACCTAATCCTAAATTTGTAGATCTGTCATGATATAACTGCCTAATCTATAAGATCTTACGTGGAAGTCACACCATCGGCTACATCAACTCACTGTATCGTATCAATTACCAATACATGATGTAGAACAAGGTTAGGCTAGAGAAGGAACAATATATTTAATATGAATAGAAGATATAAGATAACATTCAGCCGTTCGATCAACTCCAGTCCATTCCATTCATTCTCCGCGCCTTCTCCATTGTTAGGTATTTCCCCGAGTTAAATATTGAATATCTATTTTCTGAGTAGTCTCGTGTTCACAGCATTGTGGATTGTGTGGCTATTGTCCAATGCCACTACATACTAACGTTGTGTGAGTTAAAAATCTCCTAATGGCAAGTATGTGATTGGTCAGAAAATAGATCCAATTTCTAGGGATATTTATATGCACATATGGATGCCCATGTATATGAGTCCGTTTATCCCTGAGACATTCCAGTTTTACTATCGGTTCTCATACTTAGTAACCGTTTGGGGGTTGACGCTTGAGAAGCCAGTATATTACCATCAGTTTGGGGACATTGAGGGTTGTAACAGTGCAGCTACTGGATTATTATTTTTTTACGCACGACAGCATACAATATATTAGATGCTTGACATCAGTAATGTCAAGCTTTTTTGAAGATTGTGAGGATGCCACAAGGATTCGTAGTTTGACAACGCCTTAACCTGTAACACCCTGTATAATCGAAGTGTGCCAACCCAGTCAAATCAGATGTCAGAAGTGAAGAGGTTCAAAGTTATATTTAAAAGGCTACCGATATCTTGAGAAGCGTTTAATCGAAGCTGGCTAACGGTTGTGGGAGATGTGTAGCATAGTACACCCGCTTATAATCAGGCGCGAATGCGTGACCGAGCGCTTTCAGCTAGGTGGTCAAAGCACTCCTAGGGGTATTACCAGTTCAAATCCGAAATTACTAACTTATATTTTAAATAAGGAGTTATATTACCATATTTTGTGTAACATAATCGTTAGTCCGATTTATAAGTTTTCACAAGGCATGTACAATAATTTTTATTTAATTTATTTACATAGATAAAATGTGGTGTTTTTAACCAATTTATATTCTATTCATAGGTGATAGATAAAATGCAGTAAATACCAAGGTCTAGATAATGTAACATCAAATAGCATCTAGTTAGTTAACAATCAGTTTAAAAGTATAAAAGTATTGATATTTCACTCTCCTCGATTTTGGACCATGAATAGAAACAGAATATTTTATGACTAAAAAAAAATAAACTTTTGACAAACCGGAAATATTTACAGATAAGTTTCACTTTGAAGAAAGATGACATTGGAAATCAGTGAATCATGAATATATATATATCAATTAGTCATTATCACAATGACACGACGAATTAACAAGATGAATAATAAGAGTTGAAATAATGGTAGTATTAGTAACAGTGAGAAAGATTAAACAATGAAGAATAAGAATAGAAAACAAGAGATAAATTCAAGGAACACTTACGGGCGATATAAAGTGAATGCATCTGTACCATTGTGAGCTGTCAGCCAACGTTTTAAACTTCTCATCACGGTTATCATGAGGACAAAAACCAGCTAATCTGAAGCTGCTAACAAATCTAGACATAAAAATCAATCAATTCATCGACTGATTGAATGTGTTAATTTTACCTCTAGTTTTCTTCGAACTAGAAGCCTTTAAAAATCAATGTCCAGAGCTAACTATAAAGGTATCTTTTGGTTTCTGTAATTGGTAGGCAAACTTTGACAGTAAACCTCCAATTTTATTTCTACCTTTTAATTTCGTCGGTTATTCAAATATATATATCTGTGAAGACTTATATGGTAAGAGGTTGGTCTATTAAACTTAAAAAGTTTCTGTTATTTTTCTCAACAGCGCATACTTTTGATTTCATAATATGTAAACCAACAACCTTCAAAAAGTGAATTTAGAAACAACTACTCTAATTTAGTGCAAAAGCATTATTATTTATTAATTCATTGTACGGTGATGAAATAGCTTTTTGAATATCTTATCCACCCAGGTTATAGTACTCTTAATTTAAATTAACTTCACATGTTCAGAATATATATATATATATATATATATATATATATATATATATATATCACATTTTAAGCCATTATAGGAGATAACCTATTGAAGAAAACTACTTCTTCAGATGGATGAAATGTCATTGGTTGGTTGCCTCTTTTAATATGCTATGTTGTGACGTTTCCCAAAGACATTTTTACACTGTGTATATACGCTTTAGTCGTATGGTTGTTGTTATTCGTGCTCCTGGCTGCCTGTGGAATATACTTTCCCTCATATGAACCTGAACTTCTCCCTCTAGTTAGCGGGGCTGGACGCATTGGAATAGTTTAGCTTTTTTGTCGTTGTTTCGCTGATCCTTCGTTCCGTTCGCCGATTTCTAGGTAATCTCGTGATCTCTTCAAGTATAGTACTGTTGAATAGATTAGTACGCAATTGATGAATTTGATTAAAAAACTACTGTATAATCATGATATGATTGATAACATACATGCTGTAAATTTCGATACTCTTTCAAAATGAACAGAAAATTTTTTGAATGAGAAGTAAAACAAAGGTATACTGATTGCGTTTTTATTATTACATATATTTCCATATATGCATAAATGGGAAGAAATGAGAAGTACAATCCCATAAACTAAAAAGTGCTTTCTTTCACATTCTAATCAACCATATATAGTGATATTCATCGAACATTCATACACATGTTAAGGTTATTGAATATTTGTATGATTTTTAGTTTAAAACGGTGGTGCATTATCTGGCCACGTTCTAGTCAATGGATTTTCACTAAGTAAGCTGACATTTCTTCGTGGTACATCAACACCGTCCACGCCTATTCGTTTAATCCATGACAATAATGAATAAAAGAATATTTGTGAAGATGTCTGCTGTCTACAATCTTCTTCATGTATAACTAACAGATTATCTGGTAGAGAAAATGAAGACTTTACCAGAAAATTAATAAGATATAATACTATACACAAGGAAATAAAATATGATAACAATTTCGTGAATATACTACTACATAAACGTTTAGATAAGTATGATGTCGTTCTATACAAAACACTTCTGTTCTGATATTGTGAATAATGAACACTAGAACCAGGCAGTGGAAGAGGTGATGATGGTGATGTTGAAGGTGAACTATAGACAAAAAATAAATGAGGTTTATTATTACGTATAAATGGTAAACTGTTTTGTAATAGTTTTTTTTGAATAAATAATTTACAGTGATCATAGTTGTTTTTAAATACAGTATTAATTGAATAACGTAATGAATTATTATGATCATCATCATCACCATCAAGATCAAGATCAGAAGCACCATTATTATCATGATGTTTATTGGCGCAATTGATTTCACAAATATTTCTGTTCAATATTGTAGACATTTGATTCAATGGTGAATTTATTAATAGTTCATCGTTTAAATGAACATTTCTTTTGTAAGATATTTTAAATGTACTTTTTATGTTTATTTTACCTGATTTATAAGAAGTGCTGATGATACAAATGCAGTTTGATGAATTCATGAAATTACTGATGATAGTTGTATTAATTGGCATGATCGATTTTTCCGACATATTTTGCATTGAATTCGTTAGATTAAAATGAAGTTGAATTTGTTTAATTTTATTGTTTGATGATTCTGTCAGATTATTGCTGAAATTAGACTGTTCATTACTATCATGATGAAGAACAGGGTAAGGATAAAACTGTAAACCAGCTATTTGTTTTAGATCAAATAATTTTGTCAAAGGTTTAGCATGTACATTATGTACACTTTGCATTCTACTCTCAATAGTTGATAAATTGTTATTTTTCAAAATGATATTATTATAATTTGGTTTCACCATAGCAATTAAATATATTGATTTAGGGGTTTGATGAATACTAGAAAATTATACGAGAAACGAGAGATAAAATAAATTCACCATATAAGTGTATAAATGTGCATACACATACAAAGCAGAATATCATAAACAAAGTAACTGCTAATACAAAACTGAAGAATACGGTATGAAATAATCGAACGATTACGTAAAAAAAAAAGTGACTTCGTGTTTGCATTAATCAACCACTACACATTAGTTAACAAGATTGTTTTACATCTGACTAATCAGTTAATAAGATCTTAAACAAAAAACGTAAAGTGAGTTTAAGACTGTTTTAATATCTGAATGATTAAATGTTACACTGACTAGAAAACTCAACAGATCAAAAAGGGTTTTATTGATGGCTTGTCGAATGGTCTATTACATTCAATATTAAACAGAGTTAAAAGAAGTGAAAACTATGAATTTTCGTTCAAGTTATTCTAATAAAAATATATTTTTCATCAAGGATTAACTTTATCTAGAAAGTTATTATAAATGAAGAAGTTTTGGGAGTTCCCTCAAAAGTCGGCACCCTACGATCTTATACATGATTAGACTTAAGATAGCCTTCAGGTTTCAAGATGATCACGTATCTGCATTACTGAGTCGAAAGCCAGTGGTCCACATTTTTAACTTTGATGATCAATTCATAACCTGTCGACCTACATTGTATATTGACTGAAGTTAGAAATGTTAGGTGATTAGATTGCAAGAGATAATTGGCTCACCATGAGACTTCAGTTTACTTAGTTTTATATGGGAACATAAATCCATCCACTTGAGAATTACTTAAAATAGAATCAAACATCTGTTTAGCAATCCTCAGTTTTTGATGGTTTTTTAACTGGCTAGTATCAATAATTCATTACAACAACCAACTTTCATCAGTTAAATCAATCACCGTTAGTTTAGAGAAATTTTGTAAATTGTCGCTCTCTATCTTTAAGTGATTGAACTTGGAAATCTGAAATATTGGATTCCAGGCTCAATGGATTAAGGCTTAGGGGGTTGCGGTAAGGTCTGAAGATACTGGATGTGATCACTGATGGGGTCATAGATGATTACTAGTAGGAAGCCTCCTACTAGGACCAAACAATTATAGAATGCTAACTAGTTTGAAACAGGTGTTTAAATAAAGTCAGTGTTTCCAAAGGAAAGCCATGAAATCTTTACAAACCATTTAACTAAATATTATTCTCATGTTTGCAGTTTCTCTCTTGGTTGTTACAATTGAATTACCAAGTTAGAGAGGTAAAACCTAAATTTCGTAGCAAACCAACATTTTTTAGCATAAAAGTACGGTTTATGGTAAAAAAAACTTACATCATGTACGACTACCAATAAAAAGTAATCAGTTAACACGTATAACCTAATTAACATAATTTATTAGTCAGAATGATCAAAATAATTCCAAGCCATTTTGTCAGTCACAACGTGGAAACTCCACCTATGTACATCGGTTTAAGTTACCATAGTCCATTAGCACACCGAGATGAAGTTGTCAAGCCAAATCCCAAAATAGTAGAGGTAGTAACAGTATCAGTAGAAACAGGGAAGATTAGATATCAAAGATACGACTCGAAAAGAAAATATAAATTAGTGAAATTAAAACGTGAGGAATTTAGAATCTCATAATTCGGGGGAAATACAAGGAATGGATGCACCTGAGATATTGTAAATGATTTCAAGCCATGCCATTCAAAGTCTCTAACCGTTGGTCATGATAATCACGCGGAACCCAACCAGATAGTCTATACCTATTAACATAGCTGAGTCAAATTGCCAGTGAATTCATCGACTGATACCATGTTTTGGTTTGGCCAGACTATTAGTACTGATAAGGCGTTTAAGATAAGTGAAGCGGTCGATGCGTTCAACTACTTCATTCCCTTTCAATAATTCGGGCAATGACGTAAGCCAATCCTGAAGTAACATTTTATATTCGAAGGTAGAGAACCGCATCACAAACATGCTCCCATTGTTACTTAAGGTGGTCAGAAAAATCTGCATTTTGTCAGCGTCTTCATCAAACAAAACTAGATCATCTGTGTATTTTAAGTCAGTAAGTGGATCTCCAGGTAGAAGATGAACTCCTGAAAAGTCAAACGATGAAAGTATTATCTATAAGAGCATGTCTATGACAAAGTTAAATAAAAATGAGTAAAGCGGACAAACTTGATAAACACTAATTGAAGTAAAAATACTCAATGAAAAGATATTAATAATTTAATGTTGAACACAATAATCCAAGCAAAAATGAATTATAAAAACATGCATCGACGTTAAGCAAAAAGAATTGTGCAAATTAATAAGAAATACTATGCTGAGACAATTAATTACTGAATTACAGTAGTATGAATTAAAAATTTTTTTACCAAAAAGTGAACAAATTTAAACGGCAATAATTAATAATAATAACACTGTTGGATGCCGGTTCAGTGGTCTAGAGGTAAAGCGTTCATGCGCGAGATCAAAGGTCCTTCGTTCAAATCCCACATGCGGGATCATGAATGCGCACTACCGAGGAGTCCCATACTAGGACAAAACGGCCATCCAATGCTCTCAGATTTTCAATGGTGGTCAAACATTCGTCGGTTTAAGATCTCAGTTACGACTCAACAATCTCCACAACCCCATACAGATAATAATACGCCACATGTATACAAGTATAAAATGAAAGATAAAAAATACAATTAACAAACACCAAACACGAATACATACATTATTTGTTGACATGTATGTAAAGCCACAGAAATGATATACAGAACAGAGATGGGGGAACAACAACAACGAACTGTAACAATTAAAATATATTATGTTTACTTGTTTAACTTGTTTGATGATAAATTAGAAACGATAAAGTTGTTTAATTGTGAATTGGCTAAAACCTAATTTTTGTACGTAAGAATAAGAAAATGAGCATCTCAATTATGTTAATAAATAATAATAATAATAATAATAATAATAATAATAATAATAATAATAATAATAATAATAATAATAACAATAATAATAATAATAATAGTGAGGTGTTATCGGTAAATGCCATTACAAGAAGAAAACTATAAATACAATAAGCAATGTCAAAAATAACATGAATTCAAGTCTTCTTTCTCTAGAAAATATCCATTTACTCAACATTTCAGGTACAATTTATTGAGCAATGTTAACCAATCAGTAAGGAATACAAGTTAAAAATGAACCTATAGGGAGGTGTGGATAAAGCGGCTACTACCAATTACCTTTCATCATTCAATACATACTAGATGTATATACAACAATATTATTAAGTTATTAACCTTCACGATCACAGTGACAAATATGTTACGACTAATTTAGTTGCGTTTAAATGACTAAAAGTTAAGATTGAAATGAATACGTTTATCAATTAGTACACTTTAAAAGTACTCAGGTTTTTTCTAAGTGGGGGGGGGGGGGAGGAAGAGGGTAATGTTCAATAGTCCAAGAGCAGAAAGTCATGAATTCAACTGATACAAAACATTAAATGAAGTAACAAGTCATATTTTCTATTAAAAAAAATATCATTGTATTTAAAATAGTTAAACAAATAAATGGAATTCAGTTTTGTTTAAAGGCTTACACATAACCTATACGATACGACTTGAAATAAAGTCTAAAGCTTTATTTGTCAAAGTAGATTGTAAATGTAGTCAATTAAAAATTGTTGAAAAACAAATGATGAACTGTTTCTTTATTCATTTTGTTTTAGATTCTTGAAATGTTTCAAAAATGTTTATTGAAACAAATGGGGTCATGTAAACAAGGTCAAAAGATAATTATAATAACATTCAAAAACGATATATTTTAGGTATTTGCAAAACAATTAAATCCAAAGCATTTCTTATCGTGAAAAAGTTTCATTAGATGTGTACATTTAGATGCCAACCTAGTGGTATAATGGTCAAGAGCTTGATGTGAAATCGGAAGGTCCTGAGTTTCATCATTAGCAGGGGTTATGAGTACACATTACTGAACAGTTCCATACATTAAATAAAAATCCATCTAATGCTCCTTGGTTTTCAGTGGTATTCAACTTGAGATGACTATGTGATAAATACTATCTGTAAATCAAACCAATCTTTACAAAAACCCCTTCATCTTTCAGTAATAGATCAAATATTCACAAATGGAAACTTGCACACACAAATGAATAATTTTTTCTAATTATATTTTAAATTGGAGTTCAGTCCGTTTTTCATTTCATTTCTGGACTTTTCAACCGAATGCATATACATTCTTATAGTGATGTTTACGGTAGAACTTGAATACAGTACCCACCCACCTCTTCAAATTTTAAAATATTATTCATTAAACAACTGAATTAAGATGATAACTATCAGTTGTTCAATATAGATAAGAGAGTTAATATGCTTCCCAATGTTGGTTATTGGAATTCATATGATGAGTTCCAGTTTATTATATAAACTCTATATAGATCAAGGTGTGACTTTTAAAATAATCCATAAAATGTATCTCCTGAATTCAAAAATGACCGCTATATTCTAAAATTTAATTAGCTTACAAATAGAGGAGAATATGAAGACACTAGGTATTTAAAAAGTTCATTAACCGGTATAGATCGATCAATTCAGAGGTGAATATTAATAACAGGAAAATACAAAACTTTACATAAATAAATATTAATTATGAAAGACAAATCTTTCATTTTTAGTAATAATAATAATAATAAACGTAACTAAATGAAATCTTACCAAATCTATATCCAATAAATTTGAACGATTGTTTTTCTATAAGGCAAAAAAACAGTAAAGTTAAATAGAACAGATCATCAGTTTCCATGTTCAATGATGGATTGGCAAAAAAAAACAACTGAGATCATGATTTAATTCAGTATGATTTCGGCTTAATAATAATGCTTTATGAAGTTTATTCATTATAATATTCGTTTCACTAATTCATTATGAAATTTTTTCAGTATAATATAGAATATGTGTTTTGTAGTAATTCAGTATAATATCCATTACCATATTGTTGTTCATTCTTTTCATATCTGTCTCCGTTTCTCGGCGTAATGTGTTCTTTGGTCTTCCTTACCTCCTTTGATCTTGAAGATTCCAAGTGAGGGTTTGCCTTGTGACGCAGTTGAGTGATTTCCTCAATGTGTTTCCTATCCACTTCCAGCGTTTCTTCCTCCGATGGGATCTGGTTTGTTTTCTCCCACTATAGGTTGTTGCTGATAGTGTCTGGCCAACGGATCTGAAGTATTTTGCGTAGACAGCTGTTAATAAACACCTGTATTTTCTGGATGATGGCTTTCATAGTTTTCCAGGTTTCTGCCCCATACAGTAGAACTGTCTTGACACTTGTATAGCAAATTCTGACTTTCGCGTTGGTTGACAGTTGTTTTGAGTCCTAGGTGTTCATTAACTACTTATTAAACGTTAATAAAAATCGATAAATAATTAAATATATTTGCTCAAAATAGTTGTCATGAATTTTTGGAGGTTAAATAAAGTGCTTATTTGAAATCAGTGATAGTTTTCTTCTTTGAGTCATGGAAATTATAGTTTCCTACTATTGAGATCAGTTTTCCCATGGTTATAACAAGAGTAAACTGTTTTTTAAGCAAGTAACATAGAAGAATTAATGAGAAAAACAAAGTTAATTATGTACTGATTAAAGAAAAAACAGAGAATCTTTATACAATTTTTCCCATTGATAAATTTGAATAAAGAGAGATCAATGAACTTAGTAGGGTATATGATGAATTCATTCATTTGTTGTATTCTCGTCAGCTATTTACAATTAAGAAACAATGATAATAATTATATGCAACTAATGTACATACTTTATATCATTATACTTATGTGTGGGCGAGAATGATTGGTTGTCTGTTTAGTCAGATAGGTGTCAGATGAGTTATATATTCCCCTATCCTTATTACTATTATACTCACTTATTATTGTTGGATTGTGTCGGGTTTCGGTGTGGAAATACATTTACATTGTGGTCAGGCTAATCACGTGTTCTTAATCTGAGTTGTGTTGAAGTCCTGTAGAATAGACACTGGAAGGGAATCTAGTGTAGATATTCGTCTAAGTAAATTAACGTGGAAACCCAACCTTTATAACATTAGACGAAGTAAAACCGAGCGTTATAACATATACTAACGAAGATTATTAGAATAATGACATCAAATATGGAAGTATTATACAGTGGTAAAGTGAATAGATATTTGTTACTAAATGGGAAGATTTTAAAAGGAAAATGTTAAAACACAAAGAGACATGTTTCTAGAATCCATGAAATAAATAAGTTCATGTTATCCTGTTATGCTCATTGTTCTCACTTTATTTTAGTCTAAAGAATTATTGAAAGCTATGAAAGACTAGATAATAATAATAGCCAATTTGTACTAATCTAATACGATAAAACAGTGATAGTACTCGCTCGAGTAATTGTTACTTATATCCTTTACTAAATAAGTAAACTAGTTAAAAAGAACATGACACATGATACAATGGATATAAATAAAGGCTAATAGTTAATAGTATTAAAGAGTATATTTAAATATAAAATCATGATGATGGCAATTACTTAATTAGTTAGTTAAAATTACCATAGAATCATAGTACATTAAACACAATAGAATGAAATGATCAAGATGATAATCAACTAGAAAAAAAAAACAAACTCATTTATATTACATTGAAACATTGACTTCCAATCTAATAAAAAAAAGAACATACATATACCTTTATCAATGAAAAATGATCAGATTCAAAGCATTCTGAACTACTACTATTATCATTATCATCATATAATTGTGAATTAGATTTCATTATATAATCATCTTTAATTAATAATGATAAATCAATATATTGATTTCCCATGATAAAATGATTAGTAATATTATGTAAAGAATAATTTTTATTATTAATGAATGATAATTTATTATTATTATTTAAATATGTAAATAATTGATAACATTTTAAGCATAAATTTTTATTTAAATTTAATAAATGAAAGAAATTTATTTGAAGTTTTATAAGATCAATTTTCAATGAATTAACATTTATATCATTATCATTATTATTATATTCTTCATTAGATTGTAATAATACATTATCTAAGATGGAATACCAATCATTCTTCTCATTATCCTTTATTAACATTAATAATAAAGTTGTATAATTAAGCCAATCAATTAATCGTAATTTAATTGTATACAATAATTGAGCACATGATAATAATTCAGATAATGAAGAGGATGATGATGGTGATGTTGATGATGAGAATGTGGAAGAGAATAATGGTGATCTTGTCGTTGATGAGATAATGGATTCTGATGATTTATTTAATTTTTTTTCAACATTGAAACTTTCTTCTTCTTTTTCTTTTTCATTATTAGTAGGGAATATAACATGGATGTGGTGAAAATAATAATCTAAACGATGTTTTGTATAAGTTAAATGTTTTTCAAATTCATTAATTAAATAATTTAAACTTTTTTCATAAATAAATTTCTAGTGATTTATAAAATAAGAAAATAAGTAAGTGTAAAGAATGATCTTGGAAATGACAATGATAATAATAATAATAATAGTAATAATAATGGTGAAATCAAGGGTCAATGAACATGTGCCTAGATAGCTTCAAAATCAATGTGTGCCAAATGATCCGATCAATGTGAGAGTTAGAAAACCAGGTTCATCGATAGCGAAACATAATTGACATTAATACAGCTTTTAAAACGCACAGAAATTGTCAAGGACGAATTTTTAAGTTTATTGAAGCCTTGGCTATTCGTAAATTTAAACCCCCCTTATGTAATCCTTAAGTCATTCTATGGCTTAGGATAACGTGACAATTTCTTATTCTTTCTCTCCCCTTTGTTATTTTACTTGAACTTTCATTTAATTGACCTTTATTAATTTTCATATCAAAATGCCCTGACAAGTATGTGTCACCAGTTTGTTCGAAATATATAACGCAAATACATCACATTTTTCAGATAAACTCAGTCTTCTCATTGTTCTATCGAAATTTGTAAAAGGGACTAATCGCTTTAAATAATGGTGTGATTTGAATGTAACCTATTTATAAGCTTTATTACTTTTTGTATGATATAATTACTAAGTTAATTAATTAAAGATAATCAGTATCATATTTTGAGTTTAACTTTTGAGATAATTGGCATATTTTAGTAGCGCATAACTGTAATCTTTAGGAAAATAATACTTCTGATGCGGACTCGAACGTACACATCATTTATCCTTATATAATCTAGAAGAAATGTTACTATTGAGCTATTTCATCAACAATTGAATGATATTTACTTAGAAATCATCATCTATTGCTTTCATGTACTTTTATGTATCTCGACTTATAGTAACAAGTATCCAATATTCTACAGATTATATTATTTTCTGGTTAAAACACTTCTCTTGTGTTTACTCATCTCTTTTCTATGTCTCCCTCATAGGAGATAATTTTTACAATGTTGACAATTTTTAGTGTTTACATAACAGACATCTTTGCTTGTTTTTTTTCTCTAGAAAACAAAAAAAAGAGAATGTGGTGTTTGAATGAACTAATGATGCCTTTGTATACCTTTGAATCTTTGATTTCGAATTCCAAATACAGTACATTCGTTTGTGGTTATCTAGTACTTCTTGACCCGATTACGTTATTCATGGGATTCTTAGTTCATACTATAATTCAAATACTCCTAATTATCATATTGGCGTCATGATGGAGCCTGTGATGGAACGGTTGGACATACATTCAGATTTTGATGCTTTTGAGAATTACTTTGAAAGGTTCGAAATTTGGGCTATGACCAAGGGAGATGATAAGGATGTTAACATTGTAGCACATTTCCTCACATTCATCGGAAAAGAAGCATATAGCTTATTAAAAACTCTGGCTTTACCGGAAAAACCCATTTCGCTTTCTTATACAACTCTCAAGGATCTACTGCTAGACTATGTTAAGTATACAAATTTCGAATGCGGTGAAGGAGGAAGATTTCGTAAAACGATTCATGAAGATATAAAAAATTCCACTACATTACGTCATCCCAACCCAGTGGATACTCAAGGTTATGTAGATAATTCATTGAGTTGCGACGCAGTTCACGAAGATGGGCACAAGTTTGGTCAATGTCCGTCCTGTGGCAGGTTCCACTCTTTTAATTCATGTAAATTTCGTAATTCTAAGTGCTTTAAATGTGGTGATATGAGACATATTCAGTCAGTCTGTAATACTAATGTTCATCTTACTGCAACTAATATTAAGTCTTGTATTTCTGATTCTACTGAGTCGAGTATTCGTAATGATCATTTATCTTGATCAACGATTTCAAAGGACAGTGTATAGTTATATAACAGTTCAGAGTTAAATGAAACTCAGAATTCTTACGAGACAACAGTTTCTAATCAATCGACTTATCAGATTTTTTATGTTATTATACGAGATATGGTTTTTCATAATGATTCGCATATTTCTGACAAAATTCCTTGCAAACCTGAGGAAAATATGTTGAATGAACCTAGTCATGATCGAAAACCTGATATAGTTTTGGTAGATGCTGATTTTTCTAATAATCCTTTACTCTGTAATGACATTCTTAATAAATTCGAGGAAACTATTTCAGAAGAATCAAATCTCGATGTCATACCAAATATTATTTGTCCCCATAATTCATTTGTTTTTTGTGGGAAGGTTGTTCAATGCGAAGCACAAGTACTAAATGAGCTCGATTTTGATTATAATTCGAATGATTTCATATCAACTGCTGTTTATCCTTATCACAAAAACACTTCTAATGTTTACTCTAAACAATGTGAGAAATTTGTTTTAAATGTAGCCACATCATTCATAAATTGGGGATATAATGATCCAAAATTATTTCGTGAGGGAGGATAGTCCAAAAGTCTATGGTTCAAATTCTAGGTAACAGCGGTTTCAGTACACAACCGACATGTTGATTACAGAGAATTAAAATAAATAATATTGTTCCAACATAACTATATAAATATCGATCGATTTAGTATTCATTCTTTATTTCATTCTTATATAAAATCATAGTTTAAATCAAAATAACATAAATAAAAACCCATTTAGATAATCGATTTATTCATATGTATTTATGTGTGCATGTGCATGTGTGTGTGTGTGTGTACAGATAGATACATGAGACATTAATCAATAAGAGATTAATGTATATTCTTCGATTATCATTTAAAATATACCAATCAGGCATTAGAAACAAAAATTGAATTTATATTGAACAATAAATAAACTTAAATGTTAAATGTTTGGTTAAAAGTGTGTGTGTGCTTCTTTCTCTTTAAAATAAAAAGGCTTTGTCTAACAATAATAATAATAATAATAATAATAATAATAATAATAATAATAATAATAATAATAACAATAATAATAATAATATAGTAGACGGAATAATGTATAGAGTGACCTATTTTATAAAAATTAAAACTATGCTTTATACTTATTTGATCATCACGATAGAGGTGTGTGTGTGTAGAGACTGTAATAATTTTAATGGTTGGATTTATGAGTCGATTTAAGCTGAACCACCATTGAAAACCTAGAAACATTTGATGGGTGTTTCATCCTACTATAAGATTTCTCAGCAGTGTACATCCATAATCCCTCACGTGGGATTTGAACCCATGACCTTCAGTCTTACGTGCGAATGCTTAACCTCTCTAGACTACTGAGTCAGTATCCGATGTTGTTAATGTCTAATATCAACCAATCCAAGATATTGCGCGACCGTCTACCATTATCTTCAGTGAGTTACTTCCTCACAAGAGATACAGTTGAATTCTACTGGTCAAAGCTTTTCAATAGAACTCCAGGAAATTCATTTTGAAATCAGTCACTAGTGAGCACATGATTATTACCAGAATGGGGGGGGGTTATTAATTTTAACTCTTGAATTTATGAGTTCATTTACACTAGCCCGCTAATTGATTAGACTGAAAGAATTTAAAAAGTTTTTTTTAGATCATCCAAATATTAATTAATTAAAATTTATTCAGTTGTTAATTGATGTAGTTGATCTAATTGAAATTCAACCATATTGAGTTACAAATTCTAATTAGATTCTCTTTAATTATAAGATCCTGAAAGTTGGATAACATAATCAAATTTATGCAAAAAATTCTGTCTCAAAGCCAAGTATTTGAAACCTTTTTTACCAAGTGAATCAATAATATTTTAAATTTTATTAAGGTTATCAGTTGACAATAAGTTTATGAATCAAAATCTGTTTTATCAAGTAGAAATTATTGTAGTATTTCAGTCAATCAGTCAGCTACAACGTAGGACCAGACACATATATACACCGGTCCAAGTTGCCATACCTCATTAGCACAACAAGATGAACACCGGATTCATAAAAGTAGTTAATTCAGTGGTGGTAATATATGAAAGAAAGATTGCAATAAGGATATAGTACAGGAAGAAAGAATTAATTCATAGAAAGAAAGATATGAAGCGATTTTAATCTCTTAGTTTAAGGGAAGATAGAGAGTGTATACACCTACGCCATTGTGATCGATTCTGAGCCATGTCACCAAGAGTCTCCAACCATTGGTTACGATTGTCACGCGAACCCCAAACAAGTAGTCTGCATCTACCAACATGGCTCAGACTAGAAGTTAAAGACTTCAAGCACTGATGCCACGTTTTGGTTTGGCCGCCCCTAACTTTCTTCCAACCATCTCCAATACCGGATAGCATTGCACGTCGTGGTAATCGGTGTTCAGGTATACGTAACACGTGGGATTGTAGTATTTAATCTAGTTTGCACTATATAGTAGAGATCTATTAAAACGTTTACACTCTATAAACCATAGGGTAACTATATTCCTTAAGATAATCTTGAAAGATTATTTACTTCAAATGATTACCAAGTTTAGGAGACTAGATTCAACTAAGCCAGTTTTCTTTTTACTAGTAATTATGGAATAGGTAAGGAGTACTCGGGTACACTGAATTCCAGATGACTGACTGTGTAATGTACGGATAACAATATCAGATTGCTCATCATCAGTGTATTGTCACGACTGTTAACAGTTTCTGATGAATTAAAAGCGATTATTAGTAAGTACATTAGAAAAAAATAATTTACGGCCCAAAGTCTTATTGTTTATTTTAATCGATCTAATACGAAGAATTTAGAGACCTGGAACTAAAAAGTCAGTCAGTTTAAGCGTCAGAAGACTTTCCATAAGGAGATTCATCATCAAAGTCTCATATATTGAGGTATACAACGTTTCAATGCAGTGAGCAGTTTTTATCTTAAAAATATCAGTGATATCAGTTATTATTAACGCATAAAAGTAAAAGCTACAACAATGTGAAACATTCTTGTACTATTTTTAAACGTTAACCATTCAAACAAGTAAAAAGTTAATAAGTAGACGACATATGGTTAGAAACCATTTTTAAAACATTTATTTATAATTAGAGAAAGAATTTGAAACCTGTGAGAGAGCCCAACTGAAACTCAAACACAATATTCTTACAGGTGATCAGAAATTGGACAGTAGTCCTCAAAGTTAATCATCAGTCTTGACGAACAGCAAACATAAATGATGAATTCATCACTTGACCTATACATAATAAGTTATCAGGAAATCATTGTACTCATAACACTCGCGAGTTTTTTGTAAAACATTCTCATTAAAATCGTGAACCGATCAATGTTAGATTTGATTGCGGCGTGCTGAGTCATGGATGCTCACTGCCATGAAGTCCCGTACTCGGGTGAAACGACCATCCAGTGCTTCCAGGTTTTCAATAGTAGTCTAACTTAGATCGGTTCATGATTTCAATAAAACCGAACGATTTCCATAATCCTATACTGATAAAAAAATTCATTCAATCAAATTACTTACATATTGTAGTTTCGAAATCCATTTTTTTGTACCTACAATCAGTTTTCGCCAAACAATATTCAATTCATTCAATAGTTCGTCTTGATCAGTGGTAACAACAAGTGATGTACTACTACTTGGTAAAGTTGACTTCAATAGAGATTTCGTAGAATTTATTCGAAAATCATAAGCTTTAAGTTGACCCAGGAATTTTATCAACTGATCGCATGATGTAGCCAAATGAGCTAATGATAATGATTCACCAACTTGATCAACAGAATGAACACTCTTATCGTCGTCGTCGTCACCATCATCATGATATGCGTCCAGTTCATTTAAATGACGCTCCACCTTGATTAGACTCAGTTTAACTTGAGACAGTAAATCATACACATCAGAATTCGATTGAAATGTTTTAGTGACAATAGTCGACGGATTTGAACACAATTTATGAACGGGATTGTGTTTAATAGGACTTCTTTTGTTATTTATTAAAGAAGAAAAGCAAAAAAGCATAATAAGTTGATATTTTAAAACGTCAATAAAAAAATTAGTAAACACAACAATGTTTACATGTGGGGTGGCTATGATAGGATGATCATTCTAGTCAGTAGTAAGATTTAGATTATGGGTGATAGGCATTGAATAGAGTATTTAGATCGGGAGTGATACATGCCATAAAGATCCTTCAATTGTTCTTTAGGGTGTCTAGGTGACTGATTCATGTCATCCCATAAGATATATGGTAAATGTGACTTGTTATTGTACACTCTGGCGTGGAATGATTGCTAGCATAAGAGGAGTGGTCTAAAAGAAGGTTAAAGTGAGTGAATAAACCAAGACGTGGTATCAACTTGTAGGAAGCTACCGAATGTTGAACTAAATTCGCAGTTGAAGTTTTAGAGAAAATCATAATCTATGATTGGAGATATTAGGTGTTAGGATCCAAAGTCGGCTGTAGAAGTGGTGTAGATACTTTTATTCGCTATATGCTTCTAAATCTCAAGTTCCAATATAAGTTCCATCACATTAGGTTAGTTGGAGATCAATAAGAAAGTTAAGTCGAGCTGTTAAATCTCCCGGTGTTCATGACGGTAGTGTGGTGTTTTGTATATGTGTAAACAGAACGAAAATAAGATTTGACCGATAGATGTCATTAACCTTAAGAGTAATCCAATGCGAATAATCAATTCTCATTCAGTTCTCAACTTACAGAAGAATATTTGTTATTGAATAATCCACCTACATAGAAATCTTTTGTGAATACGTAAACTTAAAGAAAGCAACAACATTACAGGCGGAAAGAAAATCAAAATAAAGCCTATCGTCATTACTGTGTACTTCGCTATGTTGCTGCTCATAAACCAACTCAGTCACTCCACTCTATTTTTTGCAGGCCGAAAGACAAATTCAATATCATTTACAAAACAAGTTGTACAAATTGTGATGAACACTACACTAGACACCATAGACGCTATTATCATCTATGCATACACAAACGGAAACTATCAATGAAACAACACAGTATGTTATCATTGATATCAATCAATGTAGACAACTAAAAACATAAACTCAAATGAAAGAATATGGAAATTCTGGATTGTAGGGATTCAGATCAATCAACAATCAACAGACAAACCGATTTAGACCTAATCTACAAACCTGTTTGAAAAAGGTCAATCAATAAACTGGCCGTTATCGTAATTATCAACTGCACAGAATAAAGGCCATATAGTGTAGGGAGGCGGTGGTAAGCAATGTTTATCAAAACTTACTTATCAATAACTATTTTTGAAGTGATGTCATCATTATCAACAGAATAATCTGTTGACTTTGCAGTGTATGATTTGGAGACTAACTGTTTATTCTTTGAATCCATCAATAATAACGCTGATGATGACAACGACGGTGATGTTGATGAAGATGGCTCAGTGATTAATAAATCAGATGATTTCCTCGATATTACGCTGCTACGTTTCTCTTTTAAACAACTCTTATCTAAATCTATTTGATCAGGAACATTTGACTGGATTTCTGTGACAAAAATTTAGAAAAGACAATGTTTTATTTTCTTAAATGAAGACAATATTTTTGTAGACAAATAATCTTTGAATTGAATAACAATTGTGGTGAATTGATTCATTATTTGGAAAAATTCTATGGATAGGCTTAATACAAGTGAACTGAAAAAACAGAGTAGTTAGTTTACTAAAAGTATGGCATTGTATCACAATTTGGCTAAAACCTGAGAACATTTGTGAGACATTTCACATTTATATCAAGTGAGATGGAGCTTCAACACTGGTTTACATTGGAAATTTTTTGAACGGTGAAATAAAGTGAATTAGTTCAGTTAACAGACAGGAAAATGTTGAGAAGTTTCTCAAGTAATAGGAATATGGTAGATTGTACATAGTTCAGTCTCATTATTTTGTGCTCAAAACATATAATCAATGTATTTAACTAAAGTAAAAACGATAAACACAGCAGGATATATGATGAATTCATTCATTTCGTGGATTCTCGTCATTTGTTTACAATTAAGAAACAATGATAATAATTATTTACAACTAATGTATATACTTTATATCATTATACTAACGAAGATTAAGCACCAAGCATGGAAGAATTATAGAGAGGTAAAGTGAATAGATACTTATATGTTATTAAATGGGAAGATTCTAGGAGGGTATGTTTCCAAAATCAATGTTTAAGTTACTTAATAACAACTATTAAAATTGTGTAAATTGACACAGAAAGACGAATAAAACTCATAAATGACCTAAGAATCTTTATTAAAATGACATAAACTATGTATATTGATTGTAAATAATATGTACTAGTGTTTATAGCATGTTAGCGACTGAAGGGAACTTCAAAATGAATGAATCTATCTTATATACTGCTATGTTTATTGTTCTTACTTTAATAAAATTCATTAATGGGAAAATAGCCACTGAAGTTGTACTAATCTACAGGTGTTCTAAGAAACAAAATCGATTACTTGGTTGTTTATATGTATTAAAGTGTTTGTGTTTATCTGATCTTCGTTGATATCTCTGTTCACTAAAATACTTCATCTTTATTCACTCATTTTAATAGGTGAATACTTTTTTGTACTGATGAGAAATGTGTTATAAAATGTATTGATTATGTTATATTCAACGTTCTGTTCTGTCCCTATCAGTACTGATTGTATCACTACAATACATGATCGAATCAGTGACTAAAGTCGAGTGATTTTATCACTAAATAATAACGATTCAATCAAAATTATCAGGCCGCAGCACTGAAGTAAATTAATCCCATAGGCCATATAATCTATATAGGCAGATATACAGATATAATTTACGACCTTACGTGAATTTGCATTCACTAACGTAGGTTTGAGCCCACTGTATTTATCTTGATTAAGGCAGCCAATGAATAACATTACTGGTTTAAAATTACCAGTATATGCATGTCGAAGAACATATGGAAATCAAAATAACCGTCCGTCAAACAATATCAAATTTAGAATATTCAACACAAACGTCAATACAGTCCTACCGTACGGAGCTAAAACTTCGAGAATTACCACAACCATCATCAAAAAGGTACAACTATCTACAAACAGTTTTCTACGTAAGATACTCAATGTCTGTTGATCGGATATAATCAGCAATAGCCTAATGTGAGAGAGAACGAACGAGCTTCCACCTGAAGTTGAAATTAAGAAAATAAATCGGAAGTGGATAGGACACACATTGTGGAAATCACTAAACTGCATCACGAGGCAAGCGCTTACTTGGAATCCTGAAAGGAAACGGAAAACAGGAAGGTCAAAGAACACACTGCGTCGGGAATTGGAAGCAGACATGAAAAGAATGAGTGACAACTAGAAGGGATTGACCAGGGCAGAGCTGGATAGAGAATACTGGTGGGCGGCCTATGCTCATGTACGAGGGGTAACAGGAGTAAGTATGTTAATTTTGCTTATAGTATAAATACCGATCAATGATGGGAGAGATATTCGAAATGCAGTGTGTAATGTTCTGTGTGCATATATAAATCTTACCATGCTACAATGACCGAATGAAGCCTTAGACGTTGGTCAAGATTATATTACTCGTCCTCCTGACGATTAAATTTTAATATCGATAGAAATGAAGAACGAGTATTCTGCCCTACATTTTCGAAGAATTAACTATTCGTTCAAATCTTGACGAACATTCATATCAAGCTAAACATGCTTTCAAAATAAAGATAATAAAAACATAAATAAATGCTATCAAATCCGATTTTACGTGATTATAGTCAATAATGTAGTATAAAATAAATTTATCAATTCTGCAATGTTTTTTTTCTTCATCTATCCAAAATGATGCTCTCAAATGTGTTGGTTACTGTTATTTGGAGAACGAGTTGTACAAATAGCTAAACAACAGTAGTTGAATAAGTTTATGCATGCCGAGCACTTTGTTCTGTACTCAACTGTGCTGTGGTTGACAGTAATCATGTAGCACTGAACTATTATCTGATATTATTTGTGATATTGAATAGAATCTACTAAAAAATATATACATATGTCTCTCTTGAATTGCAAAACTGTTATCTATATGTAATATACAATCCTTATCTACGGGTATTTGGAAAATACTATGAAAGTGTCAATAACACAAAAACATTACCTTTATTGAATGATCTCACAGTTGTTATTGACGAATAATCAAACTCCGCTTGAAATAATGATGGAGACATTGGCTTGATATCATTTTCGGGAATAATATCCTGTATTGTTAAATAATTCAATAAAAAATTATTCATTATTGGTAATTTGACATGGTGAATCAAAGAGAATGGGGTGTATTTTTTAATCAAGCTGAAACCATTTGATACAGTTGTAATTTCATGTCTAGCCAAATCATCAGGGACCAATTGAGGGAGATAAGCGAATGTAAAAGATAAATCTTCATGATAAATTTCTACAGCATAAAAGCATAAACAAAGAGTCCGTAGTGTACTTGTTCGTCTGATTACTGAGTATTTATTTGAACTAACTTTGGAATTCGATAAACATGAATTACGAGGTTTACCTAATAGTGTTGAAGATTGTGGCCGATTTAAATTCGATAATCTATAACTAACAGAAGAGGTAGAAGACGGCAATATCACTGCTGGGTGCTGTTTTTGTGATTTAGTCGGGAGCGCAGTTTGTGATTGATTTTGATGTGACCGAGCCGTTAAACGTAGACGGTTTGTTTCATAAGTTTTATTAGGATCTTGTTTATTAATTTGTTTCTTGGACAGTATGGCAGATTTCACCAAAGTACGTTTTGAATGATCAATAACCGAATTTATAGATATACTATTTTTAGCTACAGAATTCGATAGCCTACTTTGATCCAAGTTATCATCTGAAGAACAGATGCTATCAACTAAATGCTTAGAGTTTTGAAATTTTTTCAATCTTTCTGACTGATTCACATTTCCTATTGGCTTTCTTGTTGCTACTCTTACAGACGAGGTAGATAATTGATTAGGTGAATGACAGCTCTTGACATAATTCTTAAATGAATTACTAGCAATAGTAATTTTTTCTTCTGCAGCTACACTACTACGTAAACATTTGGATCTCATCACTGATAAATGTCTTGTAGAACTATAACTATTAATATGTGTACATTCCTGTAATTGATTCCGCTGATATCGTTCATGTTGAATGACTTGTTTTTCATTATGATTTTGTTGATTTATCTCATTACTTAAGTTCATTTCAGATGTTAATCCATTATTATTTGTTGCATATATATAACCTTTAGATGTGAACATATTTGTTATTACATCGGAATATAAATTTCTATTAATGATAAAATCATTCATTTGTTTAAAATAAGATAAATCAATTATTGATTGATTAATTGATTTTTGATTTTGTAAATATTTTATTTTATAATAATTTTCTAACCAATACTTATTACTATTATTCAATATATAAGTAGTATATTTTTGACAAAACTGTTTAATATTTATAAAGAAATTAAATTTATTGATATATAAATTTGTTGATAAAATAGTTGAATAATACATTTTTATATTATTTATAATGAGCATAGGATGATCATATTTATCGAGTATTTTCTTCTTATCATCATCATTTATTGATAAGATATATTTCTTATGTAATTTATATTCAATGTGTAAAGGATATAGTAATGGATACTTTTTATATGTAGTTAATTTGTTTAGAAATATTAAAGAATAATAATGTCTAGTAGGGTTATGATTACATTGAATGAATGTTGAATGTTTCTCACTTTTCAAATTTAGAATACAAAAACATTTTGATATTCCAATGTTATTATTACTGATATTTGTATTTGTATCTTTGTTACTAATTAAATCATTTGTCCTAATGTTATTATTATTATTCTTCATTATTCTCAAATAGATGAGAAGAAATGTTCAAGATTACCTTGAAGATTGAAATCTGAATGATGGTAATAGTTTAGATTAGAAATAAACAATTCACATTAGCCACTTAATTCCAATTAACCATTTATTCCCTAAATACTCTATTATAAATGTGCTTTTTTTAAAATTACTTGTTTGGATCGATAATAGGAGTTAATCGATCATATCAATACTGAATATAATTAAATTATACAGTTGTGTTTAGTTGATGATGTCTGCGATGTGATGAAAAAAGTGTATCTTATTATGACAAAAGAGAGAGAGAGAGATTTGTTCTACTTCAATGAAGTTAATTATTGTTTATTTATTATTTATTTTAAGACATAGATATTGGTACAAGGGGGCACCAAATACATATGCGCCACACAAATCTCATTCGATATGTGTGAGGGCTGTGATACTGCCCGGGTGCCCAAACCGAAGCAGGTGGTTTTCTTAGGGGGCCACTCCCCGAGCCTTCGACCTGAAGGTTTGATCCACAAGGCAGTGGAGCATCGTAAGGAGATGCAGTTACATGGAAGCCGGTGACCAACGATTGGTTCGTACGCCATTTGTTCCCGCAGGATACTGGAGCCCATGTGCACCATTGGTTTGGTTTGGAATCCGGTTAAAGCGCCAGACATTCGCTTTTCGTCCTCTCATTTTCGTAAACAACACCCCCGCCACGAGAAGGCAGTGAGTAGGACTTCCCTGGCAGAGGCTATATACGCGTGGCCATGTGAGAGCATTTCGAGAGGGAGAGCGAACTCTCCCCACTCTCGGCCGTACCAGGGCATTTGGGGGCTAATTATTATTTATTGAATTGTCAAGAATTCAATAACTAAGAGAGTGATAAGTCTTGTTACAAATACGTTGAAATCGTCTTTCTAGACGGTTTCAATAAACATAAACTACTTTTATACGTCATATGGAGCAAAATAGAAAGGATATGAATTGTGAGTAAAAGCCTTACTTTAAGATTAGGTTATATATAAAGAAAAATGATGGTATTTGTAAAGTCAATCATGACGTTGGATTTCTAGAAATTTTTGAAACCATACCAAGTATACTTAGTATAAGTAAATATTCAATCAAAATCATGATGTGATTCTGCATTTTCTAGATGTTTCTGCGAAGTTCCTATTCGACGCTGATCGGATAGAACGTTCCCTGGAGTTCCTGCGCCTCTAGAGACATTTACGAGAGATACCCTGGGACTCTCACAACAGTGGGATGAAAGATAAAAGAATTATGTCAAACTCTAGGTTTGGATTTACCATACATCGAAAAGTGATGCTCATAAAAACTCTCACTTTATTATTTTGATTTGAGCCCGCTATAAACATGCTTCTAGAGTGGATAATTTTTTTCACTTGATTGCCTATTAGACAATCCGTAGTTTGACTTAAATGTGTAAACAGATGGCAATGTTTGATGGAAACATTGAGTAAACATAATCTTCTGAATGATTTGAATATCACTTACAAGAATATTGGAGACACATTTTTCTTTAAAGGATAAAGTTCGGGACACCAGTTTGTAGGAAAGCTAGTACACACTTGGGGCTTGTCAATTAGCAAACCCAATCTAACACCAAAGTTTATAAATCCCGATTGATTTCATATAGTTTCTTTGGTTTATCCCGATACGTAATAAGACTCGTTTGACAACGTGACATTAAACATTGGATAGGAAGTGTGTTAGGAAATCGATATATTTCATGCAAACAAGGGCGGCCTGCTTGAGCATCTGAGCTACCTGTTCCTGCCATCTAGATATTTCAACAAGTTATCTATTTTTGTTTATTTTAATATATCATTATGTTTATTAATCGCATGATCTATTCTGCTGCGTTTCTGAAAAGTGTACAACCTTTCGTTGTCAAGGTTACAAAAAACTCAATAAGAGCCAATGTGGTTGCTGGCAATATACAGCGAAAAGAATGCACATTATTCAGATGTTCATTTAGTGAACTGCTAACATCTAACTGGCGATCATTCGGTATTTATCGCCAGAACCGACCAAGAAGAAAGAAACGGAAACTTGTTGAAATGCTTTACGCTGAGAATTCTATATTGTACCAAAAATATAATATTGAATAAAGCTGATGATAATAATAATAATAATTCAACAGATCACATGTACGGTGTGCAGCATTTGTATGATGTCAGAATTATACATAGCATATGTGGTCGTGAAACGTTGCTGTAACATGGATGTAAACTTCACAGTTAAAATCAGTGGATAAGTAATTGTCTGAGTCTACATATAACACTAGACGGTACATTTTATTTCTATTTGGGATATTTCAGGAGAAACAATATGACTAACCTCAACACAAATATTACATTATTAGTTGAAAACTGCTAGGAAGATTTCAAGTTGTTATCTAGTTTTTGACATTAAATGTTAATTTCAAGCAGAGATAGATAGTGCCTAGCAATGGAATCCAGGACTCCAGTTTCGTCCTATTTGGGACTCGTCAGCTGAGCGTACCTGTATGAAAGAGTTGATGTTCCGGGACTCAAACTCAGTGCCGTTCGCTTCAAATGTTATCGCAATATCCATTTAACTACTGATTCCACTGACTTATGCAATCGGGTGAAGTTTAATTCCTCTTGTCTTGGTTGTTTGAATCTTCCGATTGACGTTTAGGACTGCCATTTGTCAGTGTCTTAATGATACTTGTGAATGCTGTGCGGAATGCCTCAATATTGCCTTAAGACACGAGCATTATAAACAACAAACGGATTAAATGTTAATTTCTTTTCTGTAACGATAGACTCAAGTACACTTTTTCTAGTTTATATTTCGACATAATTTTTGATGTTTTCCTAATGGTTGTTACCACTCCTAGTTTGCTAACTTTCTGTATATTCTAAGGTCACATTTTGTTATATGTACAGAGAGAGATGCTTCATTTTAGTTGGTTCTTCGTTGAAGTATCAAGTTTATCTGCGCTCACTTCTTTTTGCAATTCAAAATAGGTCTCATTCGTATTAGAATAACCTCGATAGTTTGTGATTTGTAATTACTGTAGGCCCAACCAAACATCAATTCTTAATAGTTGTCTACAAGATTTAACAAATGCCTTGAAGAACAAAGATTATATAACTCACTCTCAAATTGTTTACTATCATTTATTAAATAAAACAAATATTTTAATTCACACATCACCTTAAAAAATATTTACCTCAATAGAATTTTTCTGTCTCGATCCTTCTTGAAGTGAATTCAAAGCAGATAATGTCGAACCAGACCCCAGTTTTATTGAAACGGTAGTTTCATCTTGATAAGTACTATAGAAGTTTGGAGAAAAAGCGAGTAAAGTTAATTTCTGTGCATCATTTATACAAAACTCTATGGTTATTAAAAATATTGATAGTTTTAACCATTAGCCTAGGTACTGTATCCATCCACTTCACTCTTGACAGTCTTCACTAACTTTCAGTCAAGTACACTAAGACATATCGATTTTAATAGATGACTTTCAAGCAATCGGGTTATATATGCTTGATCTGCAATCTATCTGGTATAGTTTATTAAACAATCATATTGTGATGTTATTATGCATCAAACACAAAAGATAGTTGCTCACATTCGACTGAATAAACTTGCAAACTATGTTTTGATTAAGTGAGCATGATCTAATTTATGTTGTGAAACATCTCTGTTTTGACTAACCTATGTTTTATTTCATCGGGTAATTTACCATGAAGGAAAAATACTTTTATTCAATAATACATCTAGCATAGACGTTATTATTATTTTTGTTATTTGATCACTGGTTAGGATCGCTAACCAGTTCTAATACTGTGAGAAATAAATGTTCAATGTACCTTGGTTGTCAGCAATGACAATTCATGGTGAAAACTACCAAAAAAATTAGTTCATTTTAGATTTCGACTGCTTTTTTATGTTGAGGTTTCATTTAAAACTATGCGTAAATATGACCTACATTCATACTTGAACCTAGAGTGATCGGGGATTTTTTTAGGCTGAAGTAACCTGCTTTAGTTCATAAATTACGATTGAGTCTAACTGTTTTGATCGGGCCCCTTCTCACTATACAATCACATAACATAATTACAAGTTTAGTGTTATGTGAGCTGCAGAACGACTTGTTGACTAAAGAGTTACGATTTTTTCTCAAAAGAACTTCATAATAAACCATCTGTTAAAAAAATGAGCAATTAACTGGAAATGATGAAACTTTGAAAATCAATATCCTATGAATCAAGATATACATATACGTATAATCTGCATTTATTAAACAGCAGATTTACAGTATTACTATAGTTTTAATTATATGCCTTCATTTATCTTATCAACGGTTGATATTGTCGTTTATTATCAATAAGCTACAATTTACTGATTATATACCTATTGTTCAGTTTTATATACCACACATGATCTAGTTTGAAATTTATTACATATGGTTTCTTATGGTGTTGCATTAAATGTATAAAATAATGTGCATCAGTGTGAATAACAGGAGGCACATTGTGTTCCGGGGATAGAACTAATTAGCGTTATCATTTATTGTAGATATGATGTAGAAATTATTGTTATTGTGGTAAGTGGAATCAACAACACTATTCCTCAGTTAGATAACCTTTGACAGTATTGTTAATCGATTTCGAGTCGGTGATTATAATAGAGTACGTTGATAATGTACACTAGTGATAAACACGCACACACAGTTAAAAGAAGCCGGTAATAAGTTTAAATAATAAAATATGCTATTAACTTTATGAACCACCGAGATTAGCCAGAAATTTTTCAATGTCCAAGTAACCTGTTGTATCCAACGCTTCCGACTATCTTTCCGTTCATCTACTAGGTGAGTGTTGAATATCAGAACGTACATTCACTGGAAATTTAATTTCAAGGGTCTGCAGTTATCTGCAGAACTCTGGTGTGAATATATCGGTATAACATACACCCAATATATCAGATTAAATAAAGAAATACAAATATGATGAAAGTTGGGGTTGAAATGAAATCTGTAATGAAAACTATCACTCTAATGTGTAGTACATAACCACTGAATGAACAGAAAAAGTAAACGGAAGTGCTAGATATAACACATTACTTGAACAACGGAAAATGTGACAGATAGCCCCGACCTTCTTTTATAATTAACAGTAACAATATTGAATAAGGTCACACACATATAATCTACTTACTTATTATAGTATTCAAGGTATTGATTTATTCGATTTAAATAGGTATAGGAACAACAAAATTGACGCAGTAAAACTGTTGTATCCGAATGAGCATTTATGCTGCTCCAATTGACTATTTTACATAAATTAACCAAATGATTATGAATACATGTCATATACAACAATTTAAACTGAATTTCCTGTATATGAGGTGAAAAAAAACAATACAGATATATATGGACAATGGTAACAATGTAAATTATTTTAAGTAGATTTTCTACACTTTGAAAAAAGAATCTGTTGTCATTTAGTCCTATGACTGTCGTCTGAGATTCACTTAAAGTAAATCAAAGATAATTACAGTTAATTGTCGAGAAATGAATACTTTTCATTGAAAAATAACGGATTGGAAAGTACATCCTTCGAAGTGTAAATTGAATCCAATTGGGTTGAAAGGAGATTTTTGAATAAATTAACTGAGTTTATGAGATTTTGAATTTGCTTCAATTGAGGTGACTAAGAATTATGTACGCTGAACTCATTCCTTTACTGTGGAATGTCTTGTAGGTGAAGAATGAATGTATAGTGACCACAAATCACGACACAGAAGTCAGCTAAGTTGATGTTATCGGTTGACGTATATCATATCACAATCATAAAACGTCACCGAATCATTTTATTCATCGTTACCAACTAAAAAGCATGATATTTTTGGCTAATTTCCATGGTATTCAACTAGTATACTTTATTTCCTTACATATAACAATCACTAAAAGTTCACCACGAGATTGAAAAGTCCTAGGGGTAGAGTTCTGTGAAAAGTCCCATGATAAGACGAAATGTCTGTCTAATACTCCCTGATTTTCAGTAGTACTCGACTGAGATCAATCTAAGATCTATAAAATATAACCAAAAGGTTGAATTTTAAATATATTTCTTCTTTTCCAGGGATCGGAAATTCACTGGAGTAGGTCAGTGAATTAGAGAAGTAGCTCAGTGTTATGCTACGTTATCTGTAGTTCAGTACGTGCCTATAATAATTGTGGAATTAGGAATGACTAAACTACTCCTATATGATTTGCGCTATAGTGTAGTTGATAAAGGTAATCAGTGCACAAAATGTCAACACCTGACGGTCAACGCTGGCAGATGAAATGCAAGAAAACTTGATATTAATGGTAAAACAAGCATTACAAAACGAATTGGTACAACTCCGTATATACAGTAAGGAAAACATGACCTTCAAGTTTACAGAAATTTAGTTTACTAAAAGCAATCGGAATCAATCAGAGAAAGGAAGAGATCATGCTAACAATTGAATTTTAAAAAAGACACCTGAGGTTATCGCTTTGAAAAAATATTTAAGCATTATTTACAAACCTTGAGAAATCTTACGATCATCCGAGCACTTGCTCATTAAAATACTTGGGTTTCAACCAATAAGACCTATGTTCAGACTTCATCTAACCTACTTTGGTTTAAGCATTCAAGTAGTAAGTATCCCTTTTCCCTTACACCTAATATGATTTAAGGAGAATTACATAAATTAATATTACGCAAATGAGATATATTATCACCATTTATAGATAGTCGTTCTCAGTGTAAAGATCGATTTTGAAAAATAAGAGAATCAAACTCAAGTCTTCTTATCATTAAACCAGTATTCCATTTACATACAATGAGTATCATTACAAAAATTTTCAAATATTCAAGACATTGAAGAATTGGATCAATCAATCAATTGTTTATTCATATGATTAATAAAAAGAAAAACATCAGGATTAGCGGACCAATAAAAAAACACAATAACAAATATTTCTTTAAATTATCAGAAAGGGTTTTGTGGAGATTTTAGAAATCTCACTGATTGAAATCATGAGTCAACTGAAGCTAGACCACCATTAAAACCTGGAAGCACTGGACGGCCGTTTCATCCTAGTATGGGGCTTCTCAGCAGTGCGCAGTGAGGGACCGTGGACACTCACTACTGAGAAGCCCCATACTAGGATGAAATGGCCGTCCAGTGCTTCCAGGTTTTAATGGTGGTCTAGCTTCAATTGACTCGTGATTTTAATCAGTGAAATTTCTTTAAATTACCTGAATATTGTTCAATGAAGTACATCTCCTCTGATTAATTTGATGACATGGATATTGTATACACATAATATCATCAACATCAACTGATAACATTTTCATTTGTTCAATTAAACATTTCACATTTGTCTTGATATATATTAAAATCTCTTCACATTCATATTTAATCTTTTGTGTTAAGTGATTAATATATACTTGTAGACAATTTATAAGTAGTATTGATAAATCTAATTGTATTTGTACATTGATATCATTAACATAATAAACAATAATATTTTCATATTCACTGTGACAAATTTGAAGTAACTCTTCAATTTTCATTAATTGATCTACATACATCTATAACAGTAATATTAATAGTAGTAGGATAAGAAATTATTATAAAAAAAAGTAGTTGGGTTTAATTTTTTAAGAAAAAAGAAAAGATGAATAGAAAACATATTATAATAAGAGATTGATATCATTGGTTAGTACTATGATTCACTTCAGTTCACACAACTTGGGATACCGAAATATAAATTCCAGGTAAACTATCACTATACTCTCTTTGTAACTACTGAAGCAGCACCAAAAAATGTGAGTAGAATCAAGCAGAAGTTTTTTTATTTGGAGTTCAACTGACAATGGTATAAGGTGGAAGTGTCTGGGAATTTTTTTTGTTAAGTGTCCTTGAGAGTCAACCAGTGAATATACGAATTTCGTATAGTCATATTTAACTGCATGGATGAAGTTTAAAGTTATTCGAATGAGGATTTAAACAGTTATGTAGGTTAATTTGAATTGAATTCTTGAGAAATAGTGCATTCACCAACAATAAGAGAATACAAATGAAAGTTAAGTATGGCTTGAGAACTTTTTTGTCTTCATTTGTGATCAATAAATACACAAAACTTAATAAAAAAATCTCTTAAAAATGATATTGATAGAATGATTTCAACATTTTATTCAAGAAAACTGTCCACTATAAACCGAAAACTACAATCTATTTGCCTTGTTATGAGGTTTCCCATACTAATACTGATGTACAAGTATCCATTCTATACCTGAGACCGAACCAGGTACTGGAGATTATTAAGAGCGAGGATGAAGCCTTGTTAACTAAAAGAGAATCAAGAATATATGTACACTTATTTAAAAATATACATCTCTTTGCTTTTGAAAATAAAGTCACATTTCCAATCAGTGGAATGTGTCTCAGTTCCTACGAAATAAAGCTGAATCTTTGTCAATAACTTGCTCTTATCTTTTGATTGGCACAATGTATCACTTTTGGTGGTGTTTTGTTCTCTGAGCTGGATGGTTTGGTCGTGGAGCTTTTATCGTTCTTCTGAACGTCGTCCACCTGAGCTACAAATCTTCTCCACCATCTCACAATGTATCACTATATGAAGTGCTGTGTTTCTAGAAATGATTACTTTTAAATCGTTTACGTAAAGAGTAAACTTCCTTTATTCCGTAGGATTAAATGTAAATTAGTCTATATAATTCTGTTTGTTGTTCAAATATGAGGTCCAATAATCAATCATAACTATCTCACCGATTTGTCTACAGTTAAGAGTTAGAAACGATTATGGTTCACACAGAGAAATATCTATCACCTCTGACCAACCTAAGAAATAAATCTTCCGAATTCCATACTCATTAATAACGCTGTGAGCAGCACGGAAAAACACTGATCTTAATCAATAAACTTTGGAAAATGTCTAAAGGAATGCTAAACGGCCGTTCAGTGCTTCCAGGTTTCCTATGGTGGTCTAGCTTCAATTGACTCATGATCTCAACTGTTGAGATTGTTAAAGAACAATGTTTAATTGAAACAGAACCATTAAAAAATTTTTTGGATTACAGTTCATTCATTTTCAACATTAATATCCACAAACTCAAGACTTCGGATTTCTGTTTGCATATTCTGATGTTTGTTTTACACTCACTTTAAATGAATTAAAACAAACCTAATACCTTTCAGTGAAATTAATTAATTAGCAAGCAAGAAAAATCATTCAATTGAAATCCATTAAAAAACCCACTTCTGCATTTTCTTTGAGTTCATCATTGAATGATGATGATAGTACTGTTTCGTCTATAAAATGTATAATCCATTCTGAAATCATATCTATTCGACGTTGTAATGTAGTTAAATAAATTTGATTTTGTTCAAAATTTAATGTATTCTTTTTGTCGTCAACTTTGTATTTATTTAAAGCTTTGAGACGTTCTTCTTGTTCATTGATTAACACATTCATGGAAGATACACTATTAATATTATTATCTATAAAAGGATTTCTATGACATATTGTACAGAATACTGGACATCTAGATGGAAGAAATATCTCGTTCGTTATATAACAATTATGTATAATACCATCATTCACTTCATCAGGAACGATAGACGATGAAGATGATGAATTTTGAAATGTTTCCATCAAACCATTGGTAACATCATGTGAACAGTTTTTCTCTTCGTTAACAAATAGGCTGTTGAATAGTATTTGTTGTCTTTTCAACTCGTCTATCACCTCTTGATAATTAAAAGACCATAAAGACTGGTGTATATCTACAAATGAAAAATACGAGAGACAAATAACTTCACAAAAACCAATATGGGCAAGATAGAATAAACCCTATTTCAATTTATTCAGTATTTTACGACTACTTGTGAGTGAGAAAGTAGCAGTACCTGACAATATACCAGCTGAAGCACTAAAGTCAGACGTAGAAGTAATCGCAAAGATGCTCCACATTCTATTCAGGAAGATTTGGGAGGAAGAACAAGTGCCAATAGACTGGAAAGAAGGATACCTCATCAAGATACCAAAGAAAGGAGGTCTGAGAAAGTGTGGGAACTACGGAGTTATCAAAACTACTATCGGTCCCAGGAAAGGTTTTTAACAATGTTGCTGAACCGGGTGAAAAATTCAGTAGACATACAACTTCGAGATCAACAGACCGTATTCCACAAGGATCGGTCTTACACAAACCAAATCGCGACACTATGAATAATCAATCCAATGGGACTCGTCACTATATAACAAATTACTTGATTCTAAGAAAGCATTTGATAGTATGAATAGGAGAACATTTTGGAAACTTGTTCGACACTACGGTGTACCTGAGAAAATTGTCAATACCATCCGGAATTCATATGACGAACTACAGGGCAAAGTCGTGCATGTAGAACCAGTGAACAGGTGCATTCGAAGTAAGGACCGTGGTCACGCAGGGCTGCCTATTCTCTACCTTTCTTTTTCTTCTGGTGGTTGACTGGATTATGAAGGTCTCTACATACGAGAGGAAGCACGGAATACAATGGACAGCGCGGACTCAACTAGACGATTTGGACTTTACAGATCACTTAACTCTTACATCTCATACACAGTGACAAATGAAGGTGAAGACAACTCTTGTAGCACAGTCACTGCAGCAGTAAGCCTCAACACACACAAAGGAAAAACCATGATCCTGAAATACAGCACGGCGAGCACACCTGATGGTGAAGCTCTGGTAGAGGCAGAATCTTGCAGGTTCCTGGGCAGCATCATCGACGAACAAGGAGGATATGATATAAACATAAAGGAAAGGATTGGCTAACTAAGGGCAGCATTCATACAGTTGGATAACACATAGGACTCAAAATAACTGTCCGTCAATCAATATCAAAATTAGAATCTTCAACACAAACGTCAAGACAGTCCTACCGTATGGAGCTAAAACTTCGAGAATTATCACAACCATCATCAAAAAGGTACAACTATCTAAAAACAGCTTTTTACGTAAGATACTCAATGTCTGTTGACTGGTTACAATCAGCAGCATCCTACTGTGGGAGAGAACAAACGAGCTTCCTGCTGAAGTGAAAATTAGGAAAACAGATTGGAAGTGGATAGGGCATACATTGTGAGTCACCAAACTGCATTACAAGGTAAGCATTAACTTGGAATCCTGAAAGAAAACGGAAAAGAGGAAGGCAAAAGAACACACTACGTCGGGAAATAGAAGCAGATATGAAAAGGATGGATAACAACTGGAAGGAGCTGGAAAGGATTGCCCAGGACAGATTTAGATGGGGAATATTGGTGGGCGACCTATGCTCCTCTACGAGGCGTACTTGTGAGCATTTTTCTACACTCAGTGATCACGAGATGCAAATCAATGAAATTTACTGTTCATCTGCACAGTCTTCAAACCATTATAAGCAATTAAAATTTGTGCACAAACTTCTTATATGACTCGAATCAAACTTGAGAACGAAAACACTTAGTTTATTAATATGCAAATTTATACTACTAATAAGTAATACATTTAGGAAAGACTTACATGAAAATCCGGATTTCTGTGGATATACTTGATTCATAACATTTGATAATTCCATATTATTTAACAAAGCATTAATATTATTGCATACAGATACAAAATGTATCCATTGATTCATAATGATATGTAACACTGATTTGAGCTGATGTAAACGAATACCAAGAATAAGCCAATCACTTGTCAAAATAGTGTTTGGCAAAATAGCAGCATTGTTAATTTGGTTACAGATGGTCTGATGAGATCTTTTTACAGTGAATGAGTACGTAGAAACATGAATGAATAATGGTTCTAATTGAATATATTCATTATACCATGACTATAATTGAAGAAAGAAAAATAAATAATGGAAACTGTTATTATTTGTCGAGTAAACGGTAAGAGGTGACCATCTTGGTAAGTATTTATGTATATAATACAACGTTACGTGGAAGAAAATGGGTGAAAAGTTGCACTAGATTTAGATCTTTTGCTGGTAGATACTCGTCAGCGATGTGTATCTGAAGTCGTGATGAAACTGATACAAATCGTGAGATTTGGACCAGCATCATCCTGTGTTATACACATGGAAATTTTACTATTGAGTTATTCAAACTACGAACTATTTTGTTTGGGACTGAAGTATTTACGCTTACTGGTCACTGAGTAATAATCAATATAGTGTTTGTCTAATCCTTAATGGTGATAGAATTCTATCGACTAAGTGGAAATGTGGTCAAGTTAGTTAAATTCTTTAATGATAGGAAAACTTGGTTTAATAATCTCTGTTGATCGCCTTCAACCCAATTAACATCAAAACACGATATATGCGATGTCGAACCACTTACAATGGAATTTTAGACAGTCAACAGGACTTGACAAACATGGCGCTGGCTATTACTCAGCAATTGGTCACGACATATGGTTGGCTGACGTTAGATACTGATGGCTGTCTTCACATTTGTGGATTTACCATAATAGATTTAATCTCGAGTGTTTATTGAAATCAGACTAAAGTTTCTCAAGATTTGCGATCTGATTGACAGTATTTAAAGCTTCAACAATCCATAAACACTTAAAATCGTCATAAACCTTTACGTAATCAAATACAACTGAATATTATGCACACCTTTCTTTTTCTTCTAATTCTACAAATATACAAAATACAGTTGGAAAGATCAGTTTCTATTCCACTATCGATTCATATATTCTCTTTCAAACTGATCAGTTAATTGATCAAATTAGGATACACCAGATGAAAAAGTTTGATATACATACGACGTCTGCATAGAGTATATCACTGAATTTGAAGTGTTTTTGATTCTAAATTATCAAGTTTCACCTAAGAAAGTTTGATTCCATTGAATAAAAACCTGAATATCATAGAAAATATTAATTTAATAGATTAAAGTGGGAAATCCCAACTTCACGTTAATAGACTGTGTCCAAATAACTCTACAATTTTATATTGGGAATTCATTATGAATTATGATAAAATCAAATTTATAATCTAGTCAAGATCAGGGTAGAGGCTCAACAATTTAAAATATTCAAAACCCGCTCTTCTTACTTAGATTCTAGCAACCGGATGGTAGCATCATTAGTCATCACACAAAACAATGGAAACACGACGAATAGTTAATAAAGTATCGATCAACTATGTATAAGTCTCCTATCTATCGTAAAATAAACTAAGTGGTCAATTCCCAGAATAAATTCAAAAAATCTGAGTTCTAGACAAAACAATCAGAACTGTGATAATCTAATGATTGATATTTATGTTAATAAACTTTATTTATTAATTTAAACACAAAAATATTAGTGCAAGGAGGCAACAAATATAAATGCGTCACACAAGTAGTTCAATTCATATAACGGCTGGGATGCTACCCGGGTGCTCAAACTGGAGAAAGTTGTTTTCTTAGGGGGCCACGCCCCGAACCTTTGGTATAAAGGTCTAATCCAAAAGGTGGTGGAGCAACTTTGGGACACACAGTCCTATAGTAACCGGTTACCATCAATAAGTTCATATGTCATTTGTTTCCCTAGGATTCTGAAAACCCTGTGCACCATTGATTTTAAATCACGGTTTTCCAACTTCTCCAGTTAGATCCTCCGTATCCACCAACCCGGTTAAGAAGCTGTACATTCGCTTTTTGTCCTCTTAGTTTCGTAAACAACACCCCTGCCGAGTAAAGGCATTGAGTAGGACTTCCATGGTAGTTGCTGTGTACGTGTGGCCATGTGAGAGCATTTCGAGAGAGAGAACGAACTCTCCCCACGCTTAGTCGTGCCAGGGAATTTGGGGGGTGAAGCAGTGTGTGTCGGTCAATTAACGTAGTAGTAATTTTCAAATAGCAAAATGACATACATTATATAACAGAAAAATTACTTTCATTCAATAAAATTGTCATACTCACATTCACACTGATACACTGTTTGATAATATCATCTAATTTGAATTTGAATGGATGTTCATTGGTTGTTACAAACAAACTCTCGATTGAACGGATAATATTTTGTTCTAATAAACTAAATCTTTGTAACAGATATGAATTTACACAATCATAACAATCATCTTTGCTGTTCATCACATTCTTGTTGATCAGGTTATCATTAGTGAAATGTTTCATGAAGTTATTGAAGTATTCTAATTTTACATTAAACATTATTGACTTAGATGATAATAAATTATACAAATTGTGAATGCCACCATTAAATAAATTAATTGAAATAGTATTTTTAATTGTTTCCACTAAATTCATGATATTGTCAGTTTGAGAATTACAAAGTTCCAATTCGTTTTCATTCGATGATAATACACCAGTTGGATACAATTGAATTGATTGTAAATATTCTATTGAATTTATCCAAAGTATACGTTCATGTTTTATTCGACATAAATATAAGTTTGTTAATTGAATCAAATTGGAAATTTCCTCATTCAATGAAAATGTTGATTCTTTAATCGATTTAGTAGAAAATTCTTTTACATTAGACAATAAAGTATGTTGATAAGCAGATTTAGCTAGATTAACTAAAGATAAACTAGATGGTATTTGATCAAAAACAGGATTATCAAGGTTAAGGTTGGTATTCCCAACAATATAACCATATAGATGTGAACTACATATGCAATGATTATCAATTAACAACTCTTTAATATTTGCCTCAAATATATCTTTGGATTGTTTTAATTGATGCATAATACTCGCGTAAAATGTCTGAGACTTTCCGAACTGATTGATATGAATTTGAAGGTTGGAATAAAGCTGTTCTAGTCTTTCCACTACAGTAAGACGAATTGTAGTAAATTCTGTTAGTAATGACTTCGTGGATAACTGAAAGAAAAGAATTTGGTCGTGCTATAAAACGCAAGACACAATTATTTCAATAAACATATTAAACTACTCATAAGTACTTGGCAGCTGTACAGTAAATTAATGCGAAAACGAAATAACCGGAGAAGACCAAGTAATTTACAACGTTGTATGTGATATAAAGTATGAAGACAACTGTAGTTCCGTATGCTGTGAGTTTCGATGAGGTTACGATGTGCTTTTCTGTTGGACTGATGATATGTTGAATACCATTAAAAATGGTATACTTATAATCATCGTATACTTTCGTTGTTTTACATAAGGGTTTGATGCCATCTCCTATACACTTCTCATTACGTAATTATATTAATGTATTGTGATAATCAATGTGAAGTCTATTTACACACGTTTGAGCTACTTTCTATGTTGAACTATTGACTAGAACTATTTTATTTTATTATTTTTATCACTGCTAGTACACCTGTCTTCTTATTATCAATTTGTACTTTTTACCTATTATGTGTAGTTATATAACTCTATTCTATTGGGACCATTGACTCATGAACTGGCTTGATTAGTTAAGTGTTTTCATACAAATATTCATGCACATTAGAGTAAAGACTCATGACGATTTAATTGACAACGATATTATTCACTTATACATTTTGTTCCACTTGTATTTTAAACAGTTAATTACAAATGATGTAATGATCTAAGTTGCCAACATTCTAAAACAACACAGAAAGAGATGAATAACCAAATAAACAGTGGAATATTTGAAATGACTCTACAAATGATGATGAGAAGTAAACGGAAATAATTGAGCTCAAAAGGAACAAATGATATTCCAGTACGTAAAATTTATCTTGAAACTTAGGCGAGGGCGAGTTATGAATAGATCTGTAACGCTGTTATTGATTTGAGGATGTTACCTAGTTTGTAGTGAACTGTAAATACGAAGCCTATATTTTTTGGTGTAACCCGAACACTCCCATCGTAAAACATGAAGATTGTGTGTTGTACTAAGACCTATGTTCATGAATTCAGAAAGCCTAGTTGACTTTTCTCAGCTTATGTGTTGGTTGTGGCGTAAATGAGATATCCATCTCCCTATCAACTAAAGGGCGAGTTTACTGCGCAAGAGTTCGCTTTATTATACTTCATCGTTGTGAAACATGGCGTTTAAAAATAGAGGATATTCGTAGGTCACTAGTATTCGATCATAGGTGACTTTGAACCATTCCTTGCATGTTTTAGAACCATCTATTCAGCAATTCTGAGGTTAGATGTAGAGTACTAGATAAGTGTGGCAAATCAGTTGACGAGGTAGTGAATTTTTTTTATTGAAACGGTTAGGACATTTAGTACATATGCCTATTCACCGACTACCTTCATGCGCTACGATGACTGACATAGTACGTTGGGAGAACAATAGGGGTGACTTAACCAAAACGACATCAGTTCATGAAGATGCTGACTATTGGGTTGATTCATTTAGTTAGGTATGATTATCTTAATCAATCGTAACAAACTTTAAGTGATATGGTTCAAAATCGTTCGCAATGGCTCAGGTGTATTCATTCACTCTTTGTTTTCTCTTAGATCTAAAGTTTCTAAATTCTTTATGAATGTTTTATTCCACTCTGAGGATTCCACCTTAACAATTTCATCTCGCTGTACTGATGAGGTAAATCAACTTGGATCGACATATATATATGTATGCGCCTGGTTCTATATTCCGTTTGAAAATTTAAAAATAAATAACACTTAAATCTTTCTTATCAACAAATACTTCATTCAATCCTTATTTATTCGTATTAATCTAAACAGTTACCTGAATATATTCACAAATGAAACAATTCAAATTACATTGACATAAATCCAAAATTCTTTGACCATAATTTATAAACTGTTGAAAAGTCGACTGATCAGTCTGAATCATAACATTATCATTATTCTCATTATATACCCAATATCTCTTTAATACATCAATTTCATTCAGAAAATTTAACAATAAAGATGTGATCAACTGATGATGACGATGATGATCATGGACAAATGATTTAGAATCATGAAAATTTTTGATCAAATTAAATTGTTCACTTATTTGTTGTACAAAATTTACTCGTCCATATAAATGAATTAATTGATGTGAAAATTGATAAAATTTAATTAAATTTTCAATGACTACTGATGTTAAACAATCACTATTATTATTATTATTTGATAACAATAATTGATCATTTTCAATAGAATCATTATATTCAATAATATTGTTATATAATTGAACATTGATAAAATTTAATTTTTCTAATAGGGTATTCAATGTTTCATTTTTAAATAAATATTGATTGATTTGATTCATGGGAATTTTATGAAAGTCAATGATTAGTTTCAATGTATTCATTTGTGTTAATTTTGAATTGGATATAAATTGTTCAGTTTTATTTTTTAATGATATTAAACGTAAATTAAAATGTTTTCTTAAATTTTCATTGGTCTAATCGAGAGAGAGAGAGAGAGAGAGAGAGAGAGAGAGAGAGAGAGAGAGAGAAAAACATGTATATATGAGAAATACTTAAAATTTTATGATTAGTTTTGGCATGGATGACAAATTTTATTTATGATGAACACTTTTGAGAATCTATGACGCAAACTGTTATGTCCCGACAAGAATAATGAATGGTAACTTTTGGGATCTATTAACGGACCAATACTAAACGTATATTTCTATTGTATAATTATTGAGTAACTAAACTATGCATATTCATATTACTCTTATTATAAGCTTTATGTCGACCCATAAACTATTATTATACGTTTTACCGTTCTTGAGTTTTACCCAGTATATTAATTACTACCTCCTTCATTCACAGCCACATCTGGCTAATTCTTGTACAAATGTTGTTTCATATTTTATTGGTACGTTGTGGCCTGCTTGATTGGTATATAAACTCAGTATGTTTGAAATATAATGATTCATATTGCAGAAGCTGAGACTGTTGTTCTGGACTTAACTGGCTGGACTAGGCGGAAAGCAAGACCAATCAGGACTCTAGGCTGCTCGCACGTGTTTTACGCGTCCTTGGTCCGATTGATAACTCGCTGCTTCTGATTGACGGCTTTGGGCTATAACACAAACAATTTGAGTTAACATTTTCTAAAAATAAATGTAACTTTCAAGTCATTTGCAAATGAATAACTTCAAAAAGAAAACCTTACCAATAAAATTCCTGGTGAATAACAATGACTAGTAAAATTCAATGATGTTGGAAAAGAGTAGAATAACTCATTTATCAGGCACAGATTTATTTTCTTGGCTTTGAGCTATACTCCAAGCGTGACATGTAGTGATACAGCCTAGCTGTGCAAGTCAAAGTAGATGGAGGGAGTCCGAACGTGGCCCCTAGTAGATGAAAGTAGAGTCTAGTAGATATGGAGCCGATCCCTCTACTCAGCCATGTTAAGAATGAGGTAGACATCAGTGGCAAGGATAGATAATGGTTTAGCGATATCATATATTGTCTGAAGTTGATGTATGTGAATCGACTTAGAAATAGAAATTAATCTATTCAATTCCTAGGATAAAAATTGATCATATTATTAGTACTACACTAATACATAAGATTATCAACTAAAAAGGACAGTAGAAAATCGAATCATAAATAATACATAGAGCATGTGAGAAATATGTGTCAAAACACATTGTCATGTCACATCAGCAGAGAAATGTGAAATTTAAAAAAGTGAATGATAAAGAAGTCAAACCATAAATTTTGGTTCTTGAACCTCAACTAGATAGTTTGGATCTACCAACATGGCTTAGTCTAACAATGAATAAATTTCATGGACTGATGCCATTTCTTGGTTTGTTCAAATCTAAGTACCATTCTAACCTATTCCTACCGCAATTCATATCACAGGTCAAAGTAGGATTAAATTCAACCTCATTAACGGATTTTCCATATATGCATAGTACTTTATACTTAAACTTATTATTGCTCACCTGGCTTTTATTTTTCTATTTGAGATCAGTAGTTTTAGAATACCTATGATCCAATATTTAAAAGAGGCTTACAAAATGAGTATTAATGTATTTATTGGTTCTTACTACCCTATTGAATCGAACACATAAATGAGATTAGTTTGTATGATAAACTGAGATCGTACTTACAGTTTTTTTTAAGCAATCAACTTCAAACTGATGGCTCAGAAATAGCAACTTCGTTTTAACTCCTGTAATTTTAAAAAAACTGAAGGGCGTCACTAGCCCTGACCAAATGAATTAAACATTTTCATGTTCATTATACAGATCGATAAAAACGTAATTAAGATCAAAGATGTTTCCCTAATTATCTATCCAACGAATTTTATTTGTTCTTAGCCTCATAATAATAGATAGTTTTATAGATCAATTACATGTAAGTTGAACTTGAATAAGTTATTTGGAAGCAATTACAACATAGTTAATCAAATTGAAGTGATCGATCTCACTGGAAGATTAATCTTGAGACCTTTTCTTTTAAAATCTATCCCTGGAACGGTTGTGAGTTTAGACTGTTGAGGATTTTAATATTAGATAGAACAAAAGACCTGTTTAGTGCTTTCTAATTTCCAATGGTACTTCATCAACTAAGGTCAATCTATTATAAAATATAATCTACAAATTCGAATTTAATTTATTACTCACCTTTTTCACATTCAATAGTTCAATAAAAATATACTTTGAGAAAAAATTCTTATCTACATCTGTATATATCGTCATATCAGAATATTTTATATTGAACACTTCAATTTCAATGAATAATTGATTAAAACACAAATTTAATTGTTCATATTCATTAAGATCAGTTAACAAATTGATTTGAACTTGTTTCAATGTTTCCATGTGTTTCTTGCATTGAACAATTTGTTCTGAATAAGAAATTATTGTATTATTATTATTATTATTATTATTATTATTATTATTATTATCACAATCTTTATAATGTTTCCATAATTGTTGTTCTAAATTGTATAATTCTAAGAGAATAGGTAAACGAATTTCTAATTGACGATATAGATTTTGAGTTATATCATAAAGGATCGTATTAGAGATTCCATTCAATTGAATAAATTTTAAATCATGATCAGAGAATCTTTTCATGATTAAATTGAACCAATCTTGAGAATGGTAGTAGTATAGTACATTGAAAATGGTTGAATAGTTTTTATTATTAATAGACAACTGTAGAATATTTCTTAGAATAATTTGTTGATAATGATCTAGAATTTGTTTATAATATAAAAGACAATCATTATAAACTTTAATAATCCATTGACTTGAATTCATAAGACGGGAATAAAATAAATAATTTTGACAATGTAATGGATTCTTGTTCAATTGATCAATGTACAATTTTAACTTGTTTAATTGAACCATTTTCTCATTTACATATAAATCACTAATGATGAAATCAATTTCATTGAATCCTTTAATATTTCGATATAAATCATTTGGATATTGTTTCATTTGAATTTTATATTGTTTCATAATAGGATCAAGTTGATTCTTTTTTGATGTAATCCATAATGTTAAATCATTTATACAATTTTCTAATAATTGAATATAGAAAATTTGTTGATTGAATTCAACCAGTAAATTGAACAACCATTCAATTACTAAATCCCAAAATATTTTAAACTCTTTATTCCAAAATGTATTATTATTATTATTTTTATCATTATGATTGAAAGATTCCGAAGATGATGACGTCTTCTGAGCACTTTCGATAATATCTACAACATTTTCATGACTATTCATTGTATTTATATGAAGTAATTCATTAGTCAATGAGTGACCTTCACACAAAATAGCCTCACAAATAGGTATTAAACTTTTAAAAGATTTAAAAATGTTTTCTATCCAACTTTTATAGTATAATAATGCATCTAGAGAATTTGCAGAAATTAAAATATTGTACGATACTTGAATTGGTGATATAAATTTTATATCATTAATAAACTGACTCTTTTTATTAGTCTCCAATAGTAGGTAATCCAATTTGAATTGAGGTGGATTTGGCATTGGTGTTTCAGGTAATCGATTCCATAAGTTTTGTATATGCACTTTGTTCAGTAGTATATTGAAATTTAGAGAAGATAAAATAAACAATTAACTAATTAAACAGAGTTATAAAATAGTATAAAAGGATTTTCTTTTTTATAACCTTGACTGATAAGCGGATACTATTGATTTAAGATCTAAATAGAAACTGCGACCAATAGTTAGAGATGTTGTATCAAATGATTCGGAATTGGCTTCGGTGACACAGATAAGTTCATTTTATTATCTTCCTTTAGATCTTGTATCCCAGTATTCCTTCATACATAATTTCTTATTGTGTTTTCTAAAATCATAACTTCAATCAATTTATATTATTCTACCATAATCTATTGCTTGCAGTGGATAATTGTATTACACTTAACATGGTTGAACTTCACTAGTCTTGCCTTCTCACAAGAACTCTTGGAATCGCTTCCAAAAATTAGTCACTAGACTAATGGATTTGTTGTAACGGGTGTGACTGCAGGGTTTGAGATACGCAGCGTTATTATCGATCGCTTCTGTGACAGTGACACGGAAAACACGTAAGGACGACCTAGTGCCCTGATTGGTCCCGCTTCCCTGTCTAGCCCCAGTCAGTTGAGTCAAGAACGCAAGCCACAGCCTCTGGGTTATGAATCATTATATTTCTAACATACTTTGTTTATATACCAATCAAGCATACCACATCGTACCATAAAATAGAGAACAACATTTACAAAATATTTAACAAGTGAAGTAAACATCGACCAATAGGAAATGTACATTTAAGGTCCAAGGACACCATTGGACTTAACATGATAACTATTGGTCTATTTTTCCGACTACCTAACAGGATTATTATAGGCATAGGAGTATTGTAGAGATTATTAAATTTTTATCGGTTACACCACTTGCTAATATCTTAATTAGATCGCTAATGAAAACTTTCATACTGATAATTTAGAAGTTAGTCATTTATAATAACAATAATAATAATAATAATAATAATAATAGTAATAACAATAATAATAATGCCTAAATCTGGATCTGTAAGGTGTATAAATCATTGAATCAGTAACAATGATAAGCTGGACATTCATATCTTGACGAAAAACTCATGAAACTTTCGCTATGTTCTCAGAGATTCAACTTATTAATTAATGCACGAAATAATCATTGAAATAAAAATCTAAACATCCATTTAATTACTAAATCCTGAAATCGCTTTAATCCAAATTTTATCTTCATTAGAAGCTTTGAAAAATGATGACAACCAATGGAGTTTTACCGCAGTCGGTTATGGTATCTAACTATTAACCACGAAGTTGTATGACTAAACTAAATCATTTTGAGCAACCAGATAGTGATCAAGTATTACAAAGCAATCTTAATTGATTATCTGGTAGTGTTAATTAGCATGGCATGAACGTATCGGTACTATTAAATACAACACTAATAAAAGAAAATCCGTTCAATATTTTTAATCAGACAAAACTTATCATTAAAATTTTATCAGATTTGAAGTAGATTTACATTAAAAGAGAAAAAAGTAATAAAATTCATGCTGAACAACGTACCATTGAACCAATCTACTTGAGTGCTTAATCGTTTCCATCGGTCTAGCAGACTATGACAGTTTGCAGACCATATCACTAATTTGTGGTTTAAATCTAAACCTTGAGTGATAAGATCTGTTATTTGTTGTTGTTGCTGTTGTTGTTGAATACGTGATTTACATTCTTCATACTGTAGTGGTTGATTATCCTCTGTCGTAGTGTTGCTGGATTCGTTCAGGAGATGTAATCGATAACAAATAGAATAAATCTGAGAAAATAACGCCTATGAAATTTTAGAAAAAATGATGAGTTGTAAGATGAGCACAAGGGTAGAGAATGTAAACTTTAACTGATGATGATAATAATAATAGATTCTGAAAATTATAACAGAATCCACACCAACTTACATTGTCGGGTTGATACAAAAAGAGAGAAAACATTAAAAAAGGTAACAAGAGTACATTATTCGAACAGATGTTATGCAACAAAACTTTCTTTAAGTGAACACAATGGTAATGAAGTTGTTTATATAATATAATATGAAACATACAACAGTTCGCTAGACCAAGATTACATTTTTAAAGTATAGAAATATTGACGGAAAACACACCAAAGCAATCATTGATTTCAGTGGACTCGCCGTCAGGAAGCGAAATGGTAATGTATGGTGAACATAATCAGATTTACCAAGAAGGTGATATAAGTTTCAAGTCGTTTACCTGTTAGAAGGGTTTCATGAGTCACATTAAAATAATTTCATCTTGATAACTAGTTTCGAGGCTTACGTTGTGAACATTTGTGTAATTTTATCATTTTCAAGCTGGGGCATCCTTTGTGATTACTGGTCGATATTTATTTAAGAGTCAATTTCAGTAAACGTTTACATGAAAATATAATAATTCCTGTGAAATGTCTACAGAAAGTAAACCAAATTTCTGAACATTGAGTCCTGAACCAAGATTATTCTTGATTTAATTATGTCACCTAATTTCAATGAAATAATCTTTTGTTTCTTTAGTGATGGATTGAACTTTGCAGTATTGTAGTACTAGTTTTTATTCGTTAAATATTTGCCTCAAATATTCAGTATTAAACGCCCTTAGTACATGATTACGTATAGTTTGTAATTATGCAATGAATTGACCAAACGTATTCATGGAACTTTACTTAACAATAATTAAGGTTAAAGACATGTTCTATCCACAAGTTATTAACTTTCAAAAATGAAAGGATATTATGAGTTTGAAGAAATTTTAAAATCAGTCAACAAACCCCCGAATATTTAGCCAACAAACAAATGTGAATGTAGACTTGATTTTGGCACTGTCCATCATATATCTTATTTGATTCAATAAAGCCGATGTTTTGATAGCACCAGTAACTAAAGTCATTCAAACTAAAATTTTACTCAAAAAAAACCAATTAAATTCTAACTGAACAGATTTTGAAACACTCAAATACAAGCTGAAAAATCATGTACGGCTTTTAAAAAAAAACTCTTATTGTGAGCATCAAGTCTAAAGATAATGCAGGACAAGTATGAAAAACCAACTTTCGAAATCTTTGAGAAAAATGTTCTATTTCATTTAACCTCTCATTAGCTTCCCCTAGTTAGCTGGCCGTTGACTTATAGATGTGTTAAAGACTGATTCTTTCTTTGGGTCGCATCACTATGTATCAACAATTGTAATTGCTTTTGTGGTACAGGTTACATTGATCATACAAAGCAAGCAGTCTTTGAACGCATTGCGAAGTATTGCCGTGAGTAGCATTTTAAAGTAGATTGTAAAAACCATCAATAGTTCAATATTAAAAACTTTCATCAACTCCGATCACACTGTTAACAATAGAAATATCTCCCACAGTCAAACTATTGAATTCGACGTGAGAATAAATCAATAACTTGTGTATTACAGAAGTGTTAGTTAATTATCATTTCAAACTAGAAATATATGCGTAAAAGTAGCATGCACGAGTTCCCTTATATTTAACATTTTTAGAATATCAAAACTTATTTATAATGTTTTTTTCAAAGTTATTTATTGCTACCAGCTTCATGTTTTTTTGAGTTTATTTTTCTCGTTTTTCATGCTCATCAAGCGAACAGTTATCTTATATATATATATATATATATATATATATATATATATATATTAGTCATGACTTTTACTATGTTTTTAAAACCTATTTGTAAGGAAAAAACTCATCGTTTGCTAGCTGATGCTTGTTATATGTAATGTGCAATCTGAGAATTGTATTCGATCAATACAATATAGATTTATTAGAAAACATTGGAGATCAAAGTTGAGTTTGTGATGGCGCCAGACTACCTGATTAAGGTCTATACAATCAACATACAAGTGGTCGAAGATGGACAATGCGTTTTACAATCGGTTCTGATGACACAGATACTTTGCCTCAGAACATTTATTCGAAGATTTAATTCTTTCTACTCGAATCATATTGTCTAGATCTAATTTTTCCTACTATGAAAACCACTGATATTGTTAGTATTTAGACAGTTAGGGTATTTATCTTAATAACTTTATCTGAATGTACCGATGTGAGTATGAGACTCTTTAGCAGTGCGCATCCACAATCCCGCACCAAAAAAACTAGGACATGGGACCTTCTGCCTTAACCTCTAGGCCACTGAGCCGGGATCCAAAGGTGTTAATGTCTAACTTTAATCATTTCATGATCCTGAGCAACACTTCATCCATGGCGAAGACAACAACATTAAATTAAATCTAATTCAACTTACCAAATTCTTATGATATCTATTTTCTAATTCTTTCATTGTTAATACTGGTATATTAACTAACAATTCAATGACAATGAATAAATATTTGAAAATCTGTACAGTTTTTAATGAATTCATAGTTATTGATGTTTTCACACAGCTAGATGAATCCATGATGATTAGATTTTTCAATGTATTATTCGACATTATAACATCATCATCATTGTCATGAATGGAATCATTTGATTTGACATTACTTTGTATTGTTTTAATAATATTTAATGGAAAATTAATTGATTGATTAAAACAATCAATAAATGAATTTAATAGATTAAATAAATTTATTGAATATTGATCAGAATTATATTTATTTAATAAATAAATTGTAGTAAACTGTATTAAAAATTCATTAGATTGTTGATTGATTGAATGATAAAAATTAGATGGATTTATTTGATTTAAAATATATTGTAAGTAATTGAATTCATTCAGGAGGATTATCTATTTAAGACAAAATAATAAAAGAAATAATAATTAAATTACATTTAAAAAGAATAATTATTTAATGAATATTACCATCCATGGCTTGTAGTTCCATATCTTTAAATACTCTTAGAATTATCAGTATAGGGGTTGTGGAGATTATTAAGTTTTTTGATTGAGATCATGAACCGATTGATGTTAGACCATCGTTGGAAATCTGGAAGCACTGGACGGCCATTTCGTCTTATTGTGGGACTAAGGATCAGGAGATTCCAGGTTCGAATCCTGGGCAGGCTCGACTGCATTTCTAACTACCGTGATAACACAACTACATACATAATCCCCGTCCATTTTTCCCACAATAGGACAAAACGGCCGTTCAGTGCTTACATGTTTCCAGCGGTGGTCTAACATCAATCGGTTCATGATCTCAATCAAAAACTCTTAGAATTATTCTATTGATAGGCATCATGAATGGTAAGATTTTAAATTGGATAAGATGAATAAATAACAACTGTCTCACTAGTTATCTACAGTTTATTAATTAAATGAATATTATCAAATTCAGATAAGGCTAATTATTTCAGGAATAATAATTGAACATCAGTCTTTGTGTGTATCCATAAATTTAATGTTAAATTCACTTGGTATTGTTTGTATCTTCCCATTGTTGTTAGAAATTGCAATTAATCAGTCTCTTGTTGGCATATATGCATCCTGTGCGGATCGCCTTGATATTGCCCTAAGTCACAACCCAGGAGATTAAGTCACGTGCGCGAACGCTTAAAATCTAAACCAGTGAGCTGGCATCCAACGGCTTTAATGTATAACTTCAATCGATCCATGATCTTGTGCAACCCTTTGTAGATTTGCTTAACTTTTCTATATTATAAATAATATATTAAATTACAGTTAATAAGTAAAGATATTTAAATCATACAATAATAAAAATCTTACCAGATAATTGTTATTTGAAGTATCCATGAAGTTATTACTCGAATTCCTTTTAAATGTATTCTTGATTCGACTAACACTATATATACTTAATATATCATAAATAAATAACAATGATTTGTAGGCATAGTAGAAAATAAGTATCAAAATACGTGAATAAATCATTTCTATGCATAATAAATCTGTTGTTTTAAATAAAGTACACCATAAATTTGGCAATGGAAATGGTTCATGCTCAAAAGAGGATAATTTTGACAAATGTTTATTTAAATCTCTAATTGATGAATGAATTTCATTAGTCAATATGATTAATTGATCAAATAAATCAGAAGATGTATTTTCGAAATAAATGGTTACCATGTTCTATAATTAAAAAAAAGAAGAGTAAAGGAAATGAAACAACTGGAGTGTTTTATCACAAAAAAGACACTTTACATGACGAAATGAATTTAGTTAAATGATAAGTGAAAATAAGAAAGTATCGGATATAATGGTACTGGAAAATGATCGATTGGAGCTAGAAATGTAAACTATTTAATCTTAACTCAGTGATCTGAAGGTTAAGCATTTGCTAAGAGACATGAAGGTCGTGGATGTGCACTGTTGAGTCCAATACTAGGATGAAACAGCTGTTTAGTGTTTTCTAGTTTTCAAGGGTTGTATAGCTAAGATCAGTTGGTGATGTAAACTAGAAAATCTAAGTATTTCCATAAAGCCTTTAAACGAGAAACAAATACAAAACTGATGATAATAATCTAATAAGGTGGATTGAAGAGATTAACTCATAAGTAAGGAAAGGTTTCATCATGAATCAATGTCAACTGGGGCACATCATTGAAGACAAGATGACACTTCGCAAGCATTTTATCCTGTTAATGGGCCCCTCAAAAATCTGCATCAACGAACCCGCCAAATATCAGACATATGACTTTCAACTCTCTCTCTCTCTCTTGATGGGCGTTGGCTGACATCTAATAGTTTACATTAATCGATTATAATCGATTCGCAACACAGCGTTGTCGTGATCGAATGTTATTAGTAATAGAAACTTGCTCAAACGTTCGGGCTATTTATCATTTTGCAGTTATATGATAAAAATTTTCGTTTTACGTTTCTTTTAACTCCTTAGTTATAGATGGCAACCATATGTCTTCAAGGGGCTTGAAACCTATCGCTAGGCTACTTACTGAAAAAATTCGAAAGGAATCACCATTACAGTAATTGCTACTTTTCCCCCTTAGTCTGTTGTTTAAACAGACAAATAACGTTTATCAGATAGGGGGATTGTAATAATTTGATTGTAGTAATTTAATATCGATAATGATATTAGAAGACGAAGATTATCAGAACTATGTGATATATTAGCGCAATACATTTCGAACAATCTGGTCACACATATACTTGTTAAGAGCATTTATATATAAAAATAAAAGGTCAACTAGACAGGAAACGGGGTAAGAGGAGATAAGGATAATGATAAGAGTAATAATAATAATGTGAACACAATTTGAAACCTAATCACTCTGGATAATAAGTCAATATTACCAGAGTAGGTTTAAGGTAAGAACAAACTGTTTTTGAACACATAAAGGGGGTTTGAATTTTCGTATGGCTAAGGCTTAGTATACGCCATTTTACACTTTTATACAGCAATACAAAAGCTGAATTTAGATCAATCTTGTGACCTGTTTCAATTATATAAATGAAGAAATAAACTATCATTGGAATAAAACTAGTCAAGAACGTTGTTGGATGAAGATGAATGGTATATTACCACACACTGTTGAAAAACTATATATATATATTAATATTCAGTAGTTAAATGGATAATAAAATGGGACTGATAAGTCTTGTCGATTGAACGCTATATTCGTTTCCTAAGCTATTCTGGTAGGCCGCAAGCTAGAACTAGACAGTGACCTGAACACCAGAGAGAAGGCGCAAAGTATGAGAGACATACTTTACTCCAAGGTCCATTTTTGTACAGAAAACATGGGCATTTATAGATGTTAACGTTTGTTAAATCAGCATCATATTTCGGCCAATCTGTTGAGGACATATTATGCTACTGACCAATAGTAGCACGCCACGTTGGAATTCTAGAATGCTCCATCATGCTCTGATTGGTTGGGACTCTTCGGCTCCTTTTGGGACTTTGGAGGCTACGTTGAAGTTCTCCGAAAGCCGACTCAACAGGGACTTATAACAGTATTTAAAACTTTATGTTGTGAATTATTTGCTGTAATTATATATATGTTATTTAATAAAACTATTATTATTTTAGTGCACTTGATATGTGGTTAGCAAGATGCGCGTTTCGTCTTGTTCGGGACTCGTTGGATGGACACATCTTCAGCACAACATCTATACTCACACTGAAACTCAAACTCTATACCTTTCGTTTCAAACGTCCAACGTACTACCCACTAAAATATTACGTCTCAATAGGACATCTAATTTTTCAACAGAGACTGATGTTTCCGTTTAATGCTTTAAACTGTTCCGCACCGTGCGCGTGAGTATATATAGTTCGCATTCATAACTATTTAGTTAATATAAACTCAAAACAGGTAAACCTAGTTTTGGGAAACTAGACTGATAAAACATTTAAACAAACTTTTGGGAACCCTTGAGAATTCCTAAAAAGCTGGAAAATGGTTGAAAATACCTCTTTCAGTTAGCATTCAATGAAAACGTTTCATAAACTCAAATGTGAGAGATTTCTGGGAAACTAGTAAGAGTTTAGAAAGTCAGCATTGGGCGTTCAAGTACCAGACAAAAGTATAGAGACTGCTATCAATCAGTTTCATAAGAAATTATCAAGTTACTATTACTATGAAATACAATAATTGAATATAAAAGTCAACAAACTTACATTATCCACCAATTTCATGAAATCATCGGCTAAGTTAAACTGTTTACTATTCATTTTCATATTTAAAATAATTTCGTTAAAATATTTCCACATATTGGTTAGATTATGTTCTATAAATGTTAATTCATTTTGTTCAACAGTTAAATCATTTTTATCAGATGTAGTATTGAAGTAGTTCAGGATACGATCTAAATAGATTACCAATGGAGAATGAAGTGGATTCAAGATAGATAGCTGAGTTTCATCATCAAAGATATTTTGATCGATTTTCAACTCATTATCTAAATTGATATTGTTTAATACTGTAAGATTGGTTTTGTTAAAATTGATTAAACTTGATTGAAATCTCTTTGTAATCTGCAGTAAATTCTAAAATTGTTCAAAGTTGTTATTTGAGGGAAAAAACAGAAAAAAAAACGGAGAGGAAACATTGATAAATTGGATTAATGAGAAAATCAGTCGATACTACTAATCTACTACTATTAATAATAATAACAAGATAAGGTAGCATACCAGCCACTAGGATTTCAGAATATAATAAATAATAAAAAAACACTAGGATGAAGACTTTAAACAAATCAGTGTTATTATTCTTACCATGATAATTTTGAAATCAAGCATCTTGTTGAAAATAAAACGATACTAATGGGGAATATCTCCACAAAATGTATCTTTGTGATTTCGATTTCGATTTAGAAAGAAAAACAATATAATCTAGTTACTAAGTACAGGATTTATTTAGTCTGTCCTAAGTTATATATTTTTAGCTGATTATTATTTGAATCAAGGTAGATGAAGATCGAGTTTTGATGTCGTAACTCAGGCGTTGAGATGTTGAGATCTTCCAGTTAGAAAAAAAATGACAAAGTGGTGCCCCTTGATATATAGGCATAAAAACTACCATCCGTGGACAGTTTACAAAATATTTTTAAGTACAATTTAGTTCATGAATAGTAATACATTTCTATGAATAGTAAAAGAAAACTATTACTCACGTTATACGACTTTGAAAGCAATGTATGCAGTGAACAGCCATTCAACATAAAGTTGGCACATTTTTCTGTACTACATGAGGATAATGATGAAGCATCAATATCATTAGATATGTGCAAATATGATGGAACGGAAGCATACGAATTTCCCTTATGCAAAGTTTCTTTCATTGAACCGAAATAGTGATCGTCAGAGTGGAACTGTTTAGTACATCTATCCTCCAACCTGTTCTCAGTTTGAATAGCTGTATTGTTTTTACTACAAACCCTGTGGAAAGATAGCAAAATGAAACAATAAGTTGCTCTGAAATTAAAAATAATCATATTTAGTATCAAAAGTTTAGATACAAACGCATATTATTCATTTAAAGTTAACAGTGTATTATATAATTCAATACGTGAGTTGTGGAGATTGTTGGAATTTGTCACAACCACTAACCAGCCTATATTAGATAACCACTAGAAACTTGAAAGCACTCAATACCCGTTTCGTCCTTACGTGAAACTCCTTGGCAGTGGAAATCCACGACCCTGCTAGATGGGACCAAACCAAGGACTCTCGGTTTTGCGAGTGAACGCTAAATCACTACCGATTGGTATTCGAGCACGACTCTTTTTTGATAAAATCGCTTAAAAATAAACAATATGATTCCGCCAACAATTTACTAGTGTTTCAGTAGTCAACTTAAACTTCCAATTATCATATATCCACCAGTAAAAAATTTGATCCATGTTAACTATATTTTTGTTTATTCATAAAATTGTATCCCTGAATGGATTTATGAAACAGGAATACCAATTTGGAGGTCTTTGAAATAAAATGACGTACTAATTCAATTTGCTTCATTTCTTAGCCATACAATTAGAGAGGAAGGTATTACGAAGTACACCTGATGAAGAACACCAGTTTATGGTTGATTTTTATTGTCTTAAACGATCTTCATTCAGGATCTCTTTTTCAATTCCGTCTACATACTAGAACAATAATAAATGACTACTTAAATTACTATCAACACTGCTCTTTTCTTCGAATCTAGTTGTATTGTAGAAAGAGTCGCGTGTGTCAGACACGGTGATTTAAAAGACATGAAATACATCATTCGCATTCACTGTGGAAGGCTTACTATTTCGTCGACCTATCCATTCTACTTAGGATTTTGTATCTAACATCAACATCATTTAAACCGACAGTTCAACTAAACGCGAGCAATGCTTTAGTAACGGATATGGACAATTATCTTTAATTTATGCATATCTTTCAAAATTAGTAGAAGAGTAGATTTTTTGCCTGGCATACTCATTATATGATCAACAGTTTCATACCAAAATAAAGTTTATTATGGTGTCATATCTCTCATCGCCGTAACTACACAACTAATCAACTTAAATATCTTTGATAAAGATATGTTATCATACGGCAACTAATTTGTATACAAAACGCAATCTGTTTTGATTCCAACCTTTGACAGAATAACTCAGAAAAGACATATTTATTTGAAGTATCAAATGATAATGATCTGAGTTTCTGATGTAACTCATCACTGATTACTGTTGATGAGTATCGTATTAATAAATTCCTACAATTCATGTAAAATTTGAAAGTTATATTTTTACTGTCTTACTCATATTCCTGAATAAAACTTGAAAAATTCTCGATCAATTTTTCCTTCTTAGTTGTCCAATCTTTTATAACATGACCATTGTCATGTGTAAGATTGAAATCCTCGTCAAAACTGATTGATGTAGGCTACAAAAACGAATATGGAATAAATCAACATATCAAATAGGAATATTAATGAAGAATCGTTCAGTGAATAACTTGAAATACGTAAAACATCATATTCAAAATGATGAAAAATTTAAAACCAGTCATACTGTAACTAAAATAAACTTTACATCTACCATAAAATGATAAGTCTCATACACTAAATGTTTCAAACATTAATCTTTTAGCCAATTATCCCCAAACATTTGAAATCTTCGACATTTTAAATGTGGACGAAAGTTATCAAGAAGTTTAACTTCCAAGGGTAGATTAACTACAGAAAATAAAGGAAGTTATTAGTAACTATGGATTTCTAGAAACTTCTGAGAGAAATGTCAAGATTCATAACAATTTTCGATACTTGGCAAACCCCCTGAATGCCCTGGTACGGCCGAGAGTGGGGAGAGTCCGCTCTCCCTCCCGAAATACTCTCACACGGCCACGCGTATACAGCCTCTGCCAGGAAAGTTCTACTCACTGCCTTCTCGTGGCGGGGGTGTTGTTTACGAAAATGAGAGGACGAAAAGCGAATGTCTGGCGCTTTAACCGGATTCCAAATCAATGTTGCACATGGGCTCCAGTATCCTGCGGGAACAAATGGCGTATGAACCAATCGTTGGTCACCGGCTACCATGGGACTGCATCTCCTTACGATGCTCCACTGCCTTGTGGGTTAGACCTTTAGGTCAAAGGCTCGGGGAGTGGCCCCCTAAGATAACCACCTGCTTCGGTTTGGGCACCCGGGCAGTATCACAGCCCACACACAAACGATGAACTCTATGTCTTTGGCAACTACTTTTATCGCTCCGAAAAACAATCAGTCGATTCAAATAATTATCATTACTATTATTGTCATTATTAATACTATTATTATTACTATTATTGTCGTTATTATTATTATTATTATTATTTTCCACATTATTCACCCTCTTTTATACTTATACAGCGGCTTGTCTTTGGTGGAAATTCGACTGTATCTAGACGTTCTCGAGTCACTGTCCGGTTGAAAATTGTATGTTACCACCGAATACGAGGACTGAAGCAGTTTTTCTGAAACCACGTGCACCATTCAAACTGGCTGCCTTCAACGTTCGCACATTTATGCAGGTCGGACAACAGATAGGGCTGGCTATGTCTTTGGAAAGTCTTAATATTGATGTTTGTTGTCTATCCGAGACCCGTATTCAAGACTCTGGTGAAGTACTACAAATTCGATCTCCATCTGTCGCTTCGAAAAGCTTGTTTTACGTGCGCTTATCCGGGGACCCTGTGGCATCTTCGTCTGGTCTTGCTGGCGTTGGTGTCGCACTAAGCGCTAGAGCTGAGGCAGCACTAGTCGATTGGATCCCCATTAACAGTCGGTTATGTGCTGTTAGATTAGAAAGTTCCATCAAAGTGAGAAGAAATCGGCGTGAGAAACGATGTCTTTTCGTCATCTCCGCCTATGCCCCGACAGATTGCAGCCCGGATGCAATCAAGGATGAGTTTTACCACCAGTTATCAGTTCTTCTCCAGAAAGTGCGTTCGACAGATATTGTAGTACTAGCCGGAGACTTGAATGCTCAGGTCGGGCGTCTAGGCACAGAAGAGAGTCGTTTAGGTGGCCGATGGGGACTCGTTGGTCGCAGGTCAGATAACGGGGACCGTGTACTGCAACTTTGCACAGACCACAACCTGTTTCTGACTAGCACTAACTTTCGGCACAGTCATCGCCGATGTGTCACCTGGCGTCCTCCCTCTGCATCTCAACCCTGGACTCAGATTGATCACATCGCGATCAGCTACCGCTGGCGTGGTTGTGTACAAGACTGCCGCTCCTTTTGGAGTACCTATCTGGACTCTGACCATGCCTTGGTCTGCGCCAATCTTGCCTTACTTTTCAGTGGCCAACGAAGTGACCACCACCAAAAGATTGATGTTAGCAAGCTAGTTGCAACTTCTGTTGCTGGTAAGTATCAAACCGAGCTAGCCTCTAGGCTAGCTACCACTCCACCGAAAAGTATAGATGAGCATTGGTTGCAATTGCATGACGCCATGAAAATGGCGGGAACAGTCAGTTGTGGGTTTGCGAAACGTCCCGCTTTTAAGCACTGGGTTTCTCCAGGTTCCTTACAACTCTTCGAAGCCCGTCGGTCTACACCGGGTGACCGTGAGTTTGACCATAAACGAAGGATGTTACGTGAGGAAATTGGGCAAAGCTTGCGTAAGGACCGAGAAGCCTGGTGGTCGAAGCGTGCTAATGAGCTGGAAGCAGCAGCTGCATCTGGTAACTACCGGAAGCTCTTCCAGCTCATCCGAGCCACTGGCAGCAAGAAGTCTGGTGTGAGTGAAACAATCTGTGAGGATGACGGGATGCCAATCACTAACATCCATCGACGTCTTGGACGACGGGCAGAATTTTTCGAAGGGCAGTTCAACTGGCCTGCTGCTCCGGCAACATCGGTCAGACTGTCCTGCCCTCCATGGCCGGTGACGACTGATCCACCAAACGAGGAGGAAGTCCGCAAGGAACTCCAACTCTTGAAGCGTTACAAATCACCTGGCCCAGATGACTTACCTCCGGCTCTTTTTAAAGATGGTGGTGACTTTTTGACTAAGGAATTGACGACGTTGTTTACAAAGTTTTGGGAACTAGAGAGTGTACCAACGTCATGGAATGAGTCGATAGTTGTCTCTATCTTTAAAAAGGGTTTACGTCGTTCCTGTAACAACTATCGGGGGATAAGTTTACTTCCGATTGCGTCCAAGCTATTGGCTTCCGTCATACTTCGTAGGTTGTTCAAAACCCGAGAAAGATTGACTCGCGAGGAGCAGGCTGGGTTTCGTTCTGGTCGAGGATGTATTGATCATATCTTCACCCTCCGCCAAATGTTAGAACACCGCCATACTTATCAAAGGCCAACAATCGTAGTGTTTCTTGACATCAGGGCTGCCTTCGATTCGTTGGACAGGACTGTTCTCTGGGATTGTCTATTGAAGAAGGGTGTGCCTGAGAAGTTTATTAACATCCTGAAAGCCCTGTATAAAAACACCTCAGGCAGAGTGAGGGCATACAACCACCTCTCTCCATTGTTCCATTCGAGTAGTGGGGTTAGGCAGGGTTGCCCAATCTCACCATTCCTCTTCAACTTTGCCATCGATGACATTCTGGAAACAGCTCTGATGAATGTAAGTAATGGTGGTGTGGATCTGTTGCCTGGAGAAAGACTTCTCGACCTTGAGTATGCGGACGATATTGTCTTACTGTGCGATAATGCCCAAGGTATGCAATCCGCACTTAATCAGTTGCCAATCAGTGTCCGTAGGTATGGTATGTGCTTTGCACCTTCGAAGTGCAAAGTACTTCTACAAGACTGGCAGGATTCTAATCCTGTACTCACCCTGGATGGTGAGCAGATAGACGTAGTTGAGGAGTTCGTGTATCTGGGTAGCTGCATAAGTGCTGGTGGGGGTGTGAGTGATGAGATCAATGCACGAATAGTGAAAGCCAGAGCGGCTTATGCCAATCTGGGCCACCTTTGGCGCCTTCGTGATGTTAGTCTGTCTGTAAAAGGCCGGATCTACAACGCGTCGGTGAGACCACTTTTGCTCTATGCTTGTGAAACCTGGTCTCTCCGAGTTGAGGACGTTAGATGACTCTCTGTGTTCGATCATCGTTGTTTCCGAAGGATTGCTGACATCTAGTGATAACATCATGTTAGTAATGCAGAGGTTCGGCATCGTGTGTTCGGGCACAGAGACGATAATGCAATCGGTGTCACCATCTTGAAACATCGACTTCGGTGTCTTGGACATGTTCTACGAATGTCGTTCCAGAGAATTCCACGTCGTGCATTATTTGCCGACTCTGGGACTGGTTGGAAGAAGTGGAGAGGTGGTCAGTGCATGACATTGTGTCGTGGCATGAAAGAAAGCTGCAAAGGACTGGCTTCTGTTGGTCCTTCACGACTCCCTGGTTGGGGTCTGAGAGATGGTGCAACACAGTGGCTAGAGACGTTATCAGATGTGGCTCAGAATAGAAGCCAGTGGCGATCCTGCTGTAACCTTCTTTTACTTTCTTCATAAAAAGTGGTTGTGTCTCCTTTACCTGAAAGATTTCTTCTGATTGTACCTTTTCGTTCCGTCGTTACTACCACACTACCTTACTCCAATCTCTTCGTCATTGTTCTCTTTTTCTTTTGCGCTCCTTAGTTTTTTTTTCTACTTCTCTTCGAATTCTCATTGTTTTGTGTGGCGCATATATATTGGCGCTCTCTTGTACCAATATTCATGTGTTCAAATAATAATAATAATAATAATAATAATAATAATAATAATAATAATAATAATACTTGGCAAACTAGTAGAATAACAGTAGAGTATATTAGTTTGACTTCTAGAATTAGTAGGAATTTTGCAGATCGCTGATTGCCCTAAAGTGATTTTGGATATATTTTGATTTCTAAGAGATTTTTGAAATCAATCATATGAATATCTTTTCAATCTAATGACGTCGACATTATTCTACAAAATAAATATTCAGAGAGAAATTATTGTTGTATGGATAAAGCCTTTAAACTCAGTTTCTTAATTATTGAACATTTGAATAAAAATGGAAGTTGATCTATAGAAACCCAGTACAGGAACTCATTTTACATTTTGTATCATTAATACTCATCTTGGCAAGGTATGACCCGTCGGTCAGAAAACTTTATATACGTCTAATCCTGTCAAGAACGTTGATATCAATAAATCCCCAGATAAGATAAATTCAGTGAAAAAAATTTAAGCAGAAAACAATCCATTTTAACACATGAAATATATACTCATGAATATTATTTTTAAAGAATAATGGATGGGGGCAAACAATGGATTTAGAGATGTGCGTTTCATCCTATTTGGGATTGGTCAGCTGGATACACCTGCATCTCAGATTTGATATTCACCTCTGAACTCGAAAGCAGTACAGACCAAACACACAAACAAATACTTACGAATGACATGATTTTATCAGGTGAATTATTCTTTGAATCGATAACTTCCGGTAATGTTTCTGTGATAATTTGTGTGCTTATTTCTTCCAAATTTGAGTTATTTTCTTCATTTTGTGAATAACATAAAGTAGATGAAGTTGATTCAGTGCATGGTGATTGTATGGAATTCCTCGAATGCTTGAAACTACAAATTATGTCAGTAATTAGTGCATCATTGTTTCTAATCAATTTTTTATTCTTGAAGAAACTTGACGAACAATTCAGTGACAGATCATTCTTCCCTGAAAAATATGTTAAACTGATTGGATGATCTGTAATAATGTCTGTAGGATGGAAACTTGTTATTAATGATGATGATGAATTGGATCGTTTATGAATTTTTATCTTTACCGGAGGACATTTTAAAGCTGTATTAGAGCATAAACTTTGAGTACGGTAACGATGAATGGAAGACTTGTAATTCCAATGTTGTATAAAATTAATTTGTAATTGATTTAATACAGTTAAACGATTATGTAGATTGGTTAAGCGACTAGAAATAAAAATTTTGATAAATAAATGAACATTATAATGTCATATTAACACTTTTCAAAATAATGAAATATATTTGTGATAAGTTAATGATCCCGCATGCGGGACGTGGATGCGCACTGTTGAGGAGTCCCATACTAGGATGAAATGATCATCCAGTGCTTCCAGGTTTTCTATGGTGGTCTAGTTCAGATCGACTCGTGAATTTGAATTTAAAAAATACTACAATCTCTAAAAATCCCCATACTTATAATATGTCAATTGGTAGAAATCAGAATTCCTGATATTTCACAACTAAGGTTAGGTTGCTTCTTCAGAGACTAAATAAGTAGATAACTGTTGCTAAATTAACACACGGTTAAATGTTATAAAAAGAATGAGACAGGATATTTATTTCAATCGAAATGTAAAAATAAATCTTGATTATGTCAATATAATATCGCTTTTGAATAAAGCGATTATTTTGTATAACGATATCACTGTACATAATTGTACAAATACTAGTGAATGTGCAAAGTACGAAATTTGCAATGTGAAGAAAAGTTGAAGTATGTGTATGTTTATTAATGATGTGAAAAATTTATAGAATCAGAATGCCATTATTTGGATAAACGACTCAAGTTAGATGGATAGTCAGACTTTCCATTCCTATTGAAGGCAGAGGAATAAAACGCCTAAACTAAACGCCTTCCTTTATAATTGCTTAAAAGATTCCTCAATTATTTTGACATTTTTAATGTTGATTTTATGGTTGTTAAAAATTACATGAATTACTATCGTCAATTTAATTTATAGATTCTACAGGATGATTAGGATGTCTTTTTATTAGCTCAAGTGTTCCTTTGCAGGATTCTAGATTAAGCGAGAAGACTACTTAATATAGAAAGGAACACAATCAACGGGACGTAACCTGTAGACGCAATTCCACGTAGATCTAGAAAGACATCTTTTCATTTTTTTGAACTATAGGATTTTAAAGAGTTATGGTGGTTTATGGAAAGTCTGAATTCTGTATATTTTTATCAAAATGAGTTGTAATTCATCTTATTAGGACACTAGTGAAAGTAGGTAAATTTGAGTATTTTTGTTTTATATTCTATTTCTGTGGATTTCAGAACAATGTAGAGAGCTTCCACTCTTTTTGAGATAAAATTTTGAAATATTGTATTTTATGTTAAGTACCTTCACCAGTGAACTTACTGTGTTTAAAATTGTTGGTTAGAACAAAGTCAATTTTCTGAATAACTCAAATAAGTATCCTACACTTGGTATATACTCTATCACCTGTATATTCTATGAAATTAAATTAGAATGTAATTTATTTGTTGATTACAGGTTTATGTGTTCAGCTTTAGGCCAAATTGTTTGTATGTGGGCTAGTGATACTGTGATGTGTGCTTCTTACATAGACATAAGTAGTATATGATGTTAGTCATGAACAGAAGGTCTAGCAGCAGAGAGACATGAAGATCGAATAGTAAAGAATGGAAACAGGATGCAATTTGTATGAAAATGCAAGAACAGTGAAGTCTGAGTCATTTTGAGACAATTGGTGGACATTTTGCAAATTAAGCATTAACTTTATAATTGTTAGATTGTATTAACAAGTCCTGTAGTTTTGTGTTAAATACATCCGATTGTCCCCACTGGTGTTCTTGTTCACTAAAATACTACCCACTTATCCAAACTGACGTAGAAGAAGAAAAAGTGAGAGAGGTTTCGAACACGTAACCTACCAGTTAAAAATCGAGTGATTAAACTATTAGATCATTGTATACTGTATGAGTATTTTATCGACAAGTTTGTATATACAAACTAACGACTTTAGAAAAAATGATAAGATTAGTCAATCGTAACATAAAAGCTGAAGAGTGGTATTTTCACCGAGACAACTAAAACTCCAAAGGGTTTGTTTCAGTTACATGGTAGAGAATTCTAAATAATGAAAACACATTTGGCCAAACACTTCAAAAAAGTCGACAATAAATCTAAATTAACAAGTCATGTAATTTGACTGAACGGTATCACAATCACTAACCTGACTACGATATCCCTCACTTGCTTCAAATGTATCACAACAGATTCATACAAAGGTTCCATATAAATTTGCATTTCTTTTGTATAATAAATATCTGTCAAAGTATATGTATCACCATTTTGTTTGATAGCTTGAAATTCACCTTCCACTTGATTTATCCAGTAGTGAAAAGCATCTAATATCCCAATATAATCCTAAAATCCAATTTTAGATGCGAAAAAATGAGGGAGCAAAAGCTATGAGAAATTTCAATGAAAAAAATAGTGATTACTAGACAAACGGTAGTGAATAAAGTTATTTATTGGAAAGTTTTATGTAATCGAAGAATTATTTTCATCATGATTTGGCACGAGTTCAAAAACCACGGAAACACGATTAGACTGGCTGATTGTCAGACTGAACAACAAAGTACAATTAGCCTTCCAACCAACAGGTACAAATCTAGTGAATACGATTCTGTGACTTGATGCCAAGAGAGGCTGTAGTTGAGCACACAATATCTTCATCGATCAAGAACATTCAGAAAATCAAGTGAGTAATAATCTACTTTTTGTTCTGAATGAATACAGTGGTTCAAGATCAACTCAATGAAAATGACGAAAACTTTTAATGATTGATAATGACTACAGTATTCACTTGTTAAGTAGAATAATTCATAAACTTGTAAACATACAAGTTAGATTATTGATATGTAAATGTTTGAACCTTCCCGTTGTTTATGCTAAGAACTGAATTTTGATCAGGTTTGGGATGTATGTATATCCAAATGACGATTCACAAACAGGATGAAATGTACATCCTGGATTACACTGCTATACACTATCCATCTTTACTTAAAGTATTTATATTAGAGATGAAAAATCTTAGTTTGTGAAAGATACGGGTAATGCAAGGACTACAAAATTCTCAGAACCTATACTTGGTTTCTGAGAAAAATCTTCCATTATGTTGATACTTAGATTGTCTTCACTAGTTGATTCCATATTTGTTAAAAGTAAAACTGCCGCCTTAGTCCACGCATACATGTATCCCCCACGAATAGGAGATGATATCGAAGGTGAAAATTGTTTGCTTCCAAAGTGAATCCACCGAGCACTAATTTCTCCGACTGTCAGTCAGTCGGTGACATACAAAGTACAACCTGAAACGTATGTGAGTCGGCCCGATTTACCACATGAAATTAGCACCACAAGAGTAGTATAATTATTCACCATATCAGTAGTAGTAAAAGGACTAGATATAGAAAAAAAGAAAGATATAAGGGGATTACGGGACTCAGTATCTATAGGAAATTAAACAATGAACACAACCTCACTAATCTGAATGATTACGAGCCATATCTATCAGTCACTAACCACTAGTTACGATAATTGTCCCGACTAAAACCAGGTAATATTTATCTGCCCAGTCTAACATTTTGATTTGTAAACAGAAAATGGAAATTTATTAAGAGCTCGATTCTTGAACATCATGCATTTTGTTCATGTAACCCTAGCAAAATAGTCTTTGTAAATTATATAAAATGTCAAATTAATATGCTTATAGGGACAAGCAGATAGGATTATGCTTTTTATCAAATAACGACAGATCCAACCCACCATTCCTAGTTAGATTTCACATGTTGGGAAACCATTTTTACTTCAATTTTTTTATTATTCTTTCAGATTACGATGTAACATCGTTTGGATCATTCTTGATGATGTAATAGGTTGCTTTATATATTAAATAATAATATATACGATTGTACAATTTGCTTAACATTATCAAAATGAAAATGCTCTTTGTAGAATTGTTTTACATCGTTCAACCTCAATCAATTCATCATATGATAATTTTTAGGGGTTGGTTGCTCACGAAACGTTAGATTTTAAGCGGTCAGTAGAAAGCTTGGCTGTGTTCACTGGAGTTCAAACCGTTTCGGGTGTGAGACAGTTATCCACCAAAGGCAATGGATAAAGAGTTGCGCTAGATCATAGATTGCTAAACATTGACACCGTTAAATGCCGGTTTGGTGGTCTACAGCCTAAACGTTCGCGCGCGAGACCGAAAGTCCTGGGTTCGAGTCCCACGTGCGGGATCATGGATGTGTACTTCTGAGGAGTCCCATACTAGAACGAAACGGCCATCCAGTGTTCCGAATGGTGGTCTAGCTTAGATCGACTCATGATTTTGATTGTGAAAATACCATAGTCTCTATAAATACCCAAACTGATAAAGCTTAGCGCCTAGATTTCCTGGCTAGCTGGTATTCGTCAACGGGTTGCACTTCCCATCTTGAAGGAAGCGATGCTTTCCATATAAAATGAAAACCTCCACAGTCTAGCACTGATCAGTATAAGTATCTCACTTTTCCTCTACATGATATCAGTCACTCTTTTCCTTAAATAACTCAATATTAACGTCGCTTGTTTCATACCATCTAACACTAACAAATATTCAATGATTATTCTAATCTGATCATCAATTACGTTGCCAAGATTTAATTTCAAGGTATTTCATCTTACTTACTTTTATTTGTTTTACTGAATAGAAATCGTTTGAGATCTTATCAATAACTGACTTATAGTAGTGTTCATATTCCCTAAATAAGTGTTCAACTCGATTCAATAGATATCTGATACAATTAATTTGTCGTTCACAATAAATCACGTTTGATATTATCATCTGATAAATATCTAAAGAAAGACAATCAAAAAGACAGAAACAAAATGAAATACATGAAGAAACAAATTCATGAGAACTAACTTTAATCATAAAAAAATTATTGTTATTGTAGTCTGTATTGAAGTTAAATATTTTGGTGTTTGTCAAACTGAAAAGCAATCAATTCTAATGAAGGCTAGATTTCATACTGGTAGTAGTGGATACTCGTCATCGATCTCGATAGAACTGATGGTTCTGTTGTGGGGATTCAAAACTGTGTCACCATTCGGTTTTACAACTAAAACTAACACCACTGAGCTATTCAGATTGTGACTATTTTCCTATCGAAGAACTGAGATATTCACACTGACATATTACTGAGTCAGTAACTAATGTTATATTTGCATTGTCGTTATTTAAATTCAGTCTAAAGACTAGACGACTACGATATTAGTTTTTATTCTAGTGATTAATCACAAAGTTTATTTAAATACTACTTCAGATGCACTTCATAAACGTGTATAGCCAAAGGGACAACCGATTGGAGTCGGTCACACATGAACTTTTTGTGAGTAGTTTTATATGTGTTGACATTATATATTTCAGAACTCACTATTAGCTGAGAGGATCTATGTGGCACCCTAGTTTATCCATCTCCTTCCATTGTGGAAAGGTAGCATCGTTTTACTTGATGGTAATCGGAGATAAATAATGTACTGCCAATACACCGTTGTACAATCTACAGTACAACTTTGCTCTCAGAATTTATAACAAATTGACTGAAGTTGGGAATTCAGACCATTCAAGTTCGATTCGGTATTCTGAATCTGTCATATATATATATATATCAAAATATCTAACAGATGTGAGGTGACAAATACCATCTTCATTCTATACGAATTTCTCGATAAAACACTTTTAAAGTTTTATATCTCTGTATGTTATAGTGGTTTAAGTTTGATCGGTTCATGATCACATTTAAAACTCAACAATCTCGACAACCCTATACTGCTAAAGTTTGCTATTGGAGAAATTTCTCCTTGTTCTTGAAGACATTTAAATTTACATTAATTGAACAAAATATAACTTACTACATAATTCATTATTAATCAATTGTTTTGACTCGTTTGTAAGTACGCGTTGTATTGTCATTGAAATTAAGAAGATTGGGTCGTATTCAATTGTTTTAATAAATGATTCGATTTTCTAAGAAAAAGAACTCAATATTTACTTTAAAATACACAAATAAGTTTTTGTATTTTATGTATGACAGAGGACTAAAACTCAAAATTTAAAGGAAGGTAGTAAAAAATGCGTGTATCTGTGTAATTTTCATTCAAAACAACAACCAAGTATGAATTCTTATACTTAGCATTTCTCACTTTATTCGAACAAAAACATTAATACATTGTGACACCGAATATGTATACATCACACTCCGTCATTCGATTTGTGTGAGGGCTGAGATACTAGCCGGGTGCCCAAACCGAAGTATATGGTTTCCTCAGGGGGCCACACTCCGAGCCTTTGGCACAGAGGTTTAATCCTCAAGGTAGTAGAGAAACGTTAGGAGATGCAGTCCCAAGGTAGCTGGTGGCCAACAACAGGTTCATACGCCATTTGTTCTCTTAGGATCCTGGAGACCATGTCTACCATTGGTTTGGAATCATGGTTCTCCAACTTCCCTAGGTGGGTCCTCCATATCCACCACCAACCTGGTTAAAGCGCCGTACATTCTTTTTACGTCCTCCTAATTTCGTAAACAGCACCCCTGCCGCGAGAAAGCAATGGGTAGGACTTCCCTGGAAGTGGCTGTATACGCATGGCCATATGTGAGCATTTCGAGAAGGAGAGATGACGCTCCACAACCTTGGCCGTACCAGTGAAATGATCAAGTGATTAATGCTAAGGTTAAGCGTAGTGGATTCTAGTGAGGATAGTAAATTAGTTGGAAATCTTCATTTATTGATGTAATTAAGATACGTATTTCACGGTCGACTACCACCCTGTAAAAACCAATGTTGCCTGGTGTAGAAGTAAGTTGGGGGAAATATAATGACACCTAATCCAAGACATGATTCCAATCAATGAAGACATTAACTGATGGTTTGTGTCTTGAAGATATCATACTCCGTGGTTATGATATGCGTGATAATCGTGATTAGTAGTTAGGAACTACGGGTGACGAGGCACAAAAATGATTGCGTTAGAGAGAATGCATTTACTGTTTTCTTTCCTCTGGATATCGAGTTTTAATATTCTTTCGTACTTCGTTTTATTTCTACTTTTCAAAATACAGATTCTATGTACTTACTATTACTCATACTACTTTGGTATCAATCGATTGTTGTGGTAATCTGGTATGTCGAGTTAGGTCGACGCATGTTTGTGTTAGATCTAAATGGTCAACTGATTTCAGCTTTGAGCTATACATTTTCTATATGAGGCCTTGTGATACTATTTAGTTGTTTGGACAGTAACAGATTAAACATCAGTGTTAAATCTGTAGATATGGTTAATGTAAACCTAATTTGTACATAATTTTTTTATATTACTCACATTTTTCCGGATTTTCATTTATTCTGTACCATTATAACTATAGACTGTAAAATTCGGCAAGACTATAATTTTTGAAAGAACCAATGAGATTTAAGATGGTCAGTCTCGGAATTCATTCATCCATATGGTTAAATATCATCTTGGGATTATATCTGATGTCAGTTCATGATGAAAACCCTAACTCTTATTCCTAACCCTAAATTCTGATTCTCGGTTCTAATCCTAATTCCACATACTAATTTATAACCATCTTTTGACCCTAGTAAGCATGTGAATTTTGTCAAGGTCACTAGCACCGCTCAAAGGTTGTCCACAATTTATAGTCTCACCTAAGGTGTTTATAAATCGATATTAAATTTCCTTGTACACTTTTTGCATGGTGAAATGATTGTTATTCATCAAAGACACATATTACTTATCGGTCAACTTTTCTGAAATTCCAACCAGGTTCCTAAATGTACCTATCACATATCTGCACAGCTGGTATTCCTGAACATTATCCTGGTCGAATATCGGTTATAACACCGAAGTGTTTTTGGTATCTATAAGCTATCGATTTCCTCTCATAATTATGGAATTATTTTTGGATCTGCCGAAGGTGAAACAGTTAAAAAGAATTTGCAAGCAACTTCGTTGTACTGATCATATATTCTTGTGTATTATATCATTAACCCATTATCGTACGTTCTTCTTTGAATAACATTGTTACCATCTGCATATTTGTATTTCAATCCACTATACATTTAAGGTCTGACTAGTATTGTGTTCAACTGGAATACTGAACTGTATGAGTTCGAATGTCAAGTGTTGCATTGTTTTAATTCTCAGAGATTAAAGGTGCCTTTCTAATGATTTAAAATAATTAGTGTCCAGTGCTTCCAAGATTTTAAGAGTGATATTGTAGTGAACAGAACGTGAGTGGGAACAATCGGATGTATTTAACACAAAACTACAGGACTTGTTAATACAATCTAACAATCATAAAGTAAATGCTTAATTTGCAAAATGTCCACCAATTGTCTCAAAATGACTCAGACTTCACTGTTCTTGCATTTTCATACAAATTGCATCCTGTTTCCATTCTTTACTATTCGATCCTCGTATCTCTCTGCTGCCAGACCTGTTCACGACAAACATCATATACTACTTATGTCAATATAAGTAGCACACATCTCAATATAACTTAGTTCAATTCATCATTTTAACAAAATTCACACAATCTTTACAATCCCCTTATTAATGATCATTAATAATAATAACAAAACTTACTTTCAACTGTTCAAAATATGATTTTAAGAACTGTTTCATAGTATTGAAACATGCATAAACATTGATAAATGGTGATTGTGATGAATGTGAATCTATTAAATCATCACTATTATTAAGAATATCTTGTTTCATACAACATGAGAACATTTGTTTGATAATTTCAAATTGTACTTTAATCAAATTTAATTTTTCAAAGAAGAATTTACATTGTATATCGTATTGAATTAAAAATTCTCTTCGTCTAGAAGCTAAACTTTTAATAGAATCACAGTTATTTTGTTGTTGAACTGGTGTATTATTATTATTAATTAAAGATGAATAGAATAAAGTTAATTGATTATTGAATAATTGAATACTTTCATGATGAAATTCTAAATTATCTAATTCTTGAAGTTTCCATTTCATATGAATTATTAAGTTGATATAATGATTTGGATCTTTCAAAATTATTGATTTTAACTCAATTGAAGTTATATTTGAAATTAATTGTAGAGCTTTTTCTCGAAGTTGATAAATTTCTGAAGTATTTAACTTTTCAAAAGAAAAAAAGAATAAAAAAGAGACAAAAACAAAGTGTTATTTGCTGACGAGAAAGTAAACAACTAATATAATTGAAGCTATTTCCATACATTTCATCTGATATTGTTAGATCCTTGTTAAGATAATTAATAATTTGTATCAGAAAGGGTTTTGTGGAGATTGTAGTAATTTCAATAGTTGAGATCGTGAGTCAATTAAAGTTAGATCCCCGTGAAAAACCTGGAAGCAGTGGATGGCTGTTTTGTCCTATTATGAGACTCCTCAATAGTGCGCATCCATGACCAAGTTTTCCGTGGTAGTCTAACTTCAATTGAATCAAATATTAAAATTAATAATTTATCAAAAATTGTATGATATCTCATTTTTTGATTGTTGAAGTGTAATTTTCATTAAAGAATTTATTTTAATTATCTGGTGTTATTTGCAGACTTCTGTTATAAGCATGTTAGAGTAGCACAACCGGACATGATGAACGAAAAATACAAACATTGAACAAGTTAGAGCTTAAAATATAATCTCTAATGAAATTAGATTCTAATATGTAGTACTCATCAAATTAATGATGAAAATAAAAGTACCTGAACATCCTGGATACATCACATTTATCGAACATTGAAAAAGATATAGATCACACAAAAATTGTTTTTAATAGATGGATCTGTTTCCTTTCATTTTGTTTACATTGACTAATTTACATTGACTTTAAGTGAGCAATTAAAGTTAATTATTAAACTATAATAATAACTTACATCATGGCTATTAATAAGTGAAACAATATTGTTTGAATTTTTATTGATCAGATCAATGGTTATGGGTTTAATTATTTCTTCACGTATAATACACAATCTCTCTAAAATACTGTTTAATTGTTTCATATAAATATTAGAATAAATTGAATGTATAGTGAACTGATCCAATTTTGTATGAAGTACATCATAGATATCGTCCAATTCTTTCTGTTTGGATCTATTTTGAAAAAAGGGAAATTCGATCATTTTTTTTAGTTGCTAAGGTTTGACATTTTTATGATCTTTAAGAAAAAACGTAACAAAAGAATACATGTGTTGTATAACGGCGAACATTTTCATAAACGAAGATTTCTAGGGTTATATTTATTGTATAAGGTGTATTCAATTAATGTCAAAGTTAATGTGAAGGTCAGTGGAATACATATATATATATATATAGTTAATCGGTTTTGATTAGGATGAATTATATTATGGAAATAATCCTACCGCACAGTGCTCATTAGTCAAAAACCTGAATAATTGATGACATTTAAGTGAAACATTTAATTTAAACAGCTTTTCTTTTTGCCCAGAAACATGCTTAAATTAACCACTAACAGTATTATTAGTTGAATACCATTTGATTGTGACTGAAAAATTGAAAGCAGTAGACAACAGCTTCGTTTTAGTTTGACTCCTAAGATTTATGTACTGTATGCCAGATAAAACCCGGAATCATCATATTTTTTCAGGGAGCTCATCAATTTCACATTACGTGATAGAAATTAAACTGTTTACCTCCACAAGTTTAATTTCATAATAATCTCAAATTCCAATCAATTTATAACATAGCTAGTGTTGTCATTGGTGCTTGTTTTATATAACCAATGTCCCTATTACGTAATGATAGACATAGAGTTAATTCATCTAGCAACACATCTCTACTCAATAAAGTTTGATTTCTTACACAAATGCCTATAAATGCATTAGATTAATATTAGTTATTAATAAGTAACATTAGAATTTACTCACTCAATATACATGCTGAAATCTTGTTGGGTCTTAAAATCCACATGCAATAAACATTGGTTGGCCACATTTTTTGCAGTTTGTAATTTTTTCTGTACACAATTGACTTGATCAATACAGTCCTATAATTAAAGAATGTCAAGAAAAAATCGAGAAAAACTGTAAGGGCCAGGAAAAGATTTTGATCATCAGACTTCACAAAATGTATTACATATGCTTAACCACCGCCTACTTCGATTATTTATGTCAGCTAGTATAGGAGTAAGTTGGGAGAAATTTAAAGACAGAAAAACAAAATGAGGCATCAGTCTATGTGTCCATTGATTATTAGGCTTAGCCATAGTGATAAATCCATATTAACTGGTTGGGATCTGAAAAACTGTGGTAACTAATAGTCGGAGATGGATGATGTTTCTCAAAATCATTCACAATAATATGAATGCATTCACTCTAATTACTTAAGCCTGTTAACTCTCGTAGAGTACAAGCTGTCAATCAGGATTCTCCAACCTACTCTGAACAAGACTCTTTTTTTAGCGGTTATCAAGTGCTATTCATTCTTTCCATGTTTGCTTCCGATTCTCGATGCAATGTGTACCTTGGTTTTTCTCTTTTCCATTTCCCTTCAGGATTCCAAGTTAGCGCTTGTCTCTTGATGCAATTTGATGATTTCCTCAATGTGCCCAATTCGTCTCCATAGTCTTTCCCTAATTTCTTCTTCAGATGGGAGCTGGTTTGTTCTCTGTTACATTAGATCATTACTGATGGTATCCGGTCAACGGACATTGAGGGTTTTAATTATCCCTACGGCATTTTTTTTAAAAAAACCCACCCTTTTTTAAAAATTTTTTTCAACCCCAAAATTACAATATTTTTCATACCGTTTCGCCCAATGAAAAGGCTATTTTCATAATTCGTTTCAATTGGTTAGTCATGTATTGTCAAATAGTTATAAAACATCAGTACTTGTCGACGAAGTACATTTTAATCATCATTATGGAGGAGAGTAACGTTCCGAGTATAAGCGCTCTTGTTTCTCACGTAACAGAAATGAAGGAAGTCTTATTGACAACCTTGTTTCTCGTTGCGTTCCCATCGCTTGAAGCGTTGAAGTCCGCTATCAAAAATTATGAAAGATCGACTTACTGTCATTATGTAGCTCGAGATTCGCATTTGTACAGAGATGAAAACTCGTATATTAAATTAGTGTGCTGGAGACATGGTCGTATAACAACTAGCGGTTCGTCACAGCGGACCAGACGGAGGTAATTTGATTAATGTTATTAAAATTTTTTGTCATTAAGGGCCTCCATGAACACTCAATGTCCGGCCTTCATGTATTGTCAGATTATAGACGGCTACTGGACTGTTGTACGTGGGAATGTGCATCAAAATCACGAGTGAAATTCCTTGAGGTACGACGGTAATTCTTGGGTGCGCAGGTTAACGGAAGCAGAGTTTGAAACTATGCGACCCACAAATTTACAAGATAACCCATTAATGAATATTATGTGCCTATTTCGGGAAAAATTATTACTTCTTTAATATACCGTAAAAGTCGCTTCATCAACCGATGGTTTACGGTTCGTTTGCCTGATTTATACATGTCATAATCAGTAACTTATCATGATGATTTATTGATATGCTGATTTCTTTTTCCGATTAACATACTATGTGTTACTAAAAAACGTATGCGCACACTTTGTTGATAATTTTTTTATTAATTTGGCATTCAACATTTGACTACCGACCTCATTCAGTAATCACTATTATCAAATATTCAAACCGGTTCTCAGTTCCTTTTTTCCAAAACTTTCTTTTAATGTGATACATATAATTATTCGTGTCAAGATAACTAAAGACTTCAATTCAAGGTATACTTGATCGGAAAACAAAAATTTATCTCAATATACATTCACTAACAGTAGGATTGCACGGTAGTGCAATTAAGTTGGTGTCTTTTTCTCCAAAAGTCTAAATTTTTTTCAAGACTAAGATTACACAAAAAGAATTATTCATTATAGTTAAATTTCAAATGTAAAAATGCAAATTCTGACATTCAATCAAAGCAGTTGATGCTATTTCGATTTCAACTAATCAGATTACAAAGATGAACAGTTTACGACCAATTACAAAATTATTAAAGGTGACAAAATGTTTGTTCATTACCATTTGAGCACACACTTGCAAAACAAGTACACCAATCACCGGTCCCTACATTCTTTTTTCTCATCCTACAATTTCTAAGAAATGGGTGGTAGGGAACCATAATTGCCGTCCATTTAATGTCAACCGATGCATACCACAGTCTGTCTCTCATTTTCCAGAACCGTAGTAACAGCAAATGAGAAGAACAGATCGTTAAATATGAAATAATATTTACGGTATTAAATCAAAACCCAGGAACGCACTATCTCCATGCATAACTATCTATTATAATTAATGTGTAGCCACCTACTGAACCGTATAAGTCTTAATCGGGATATATATATATATATATATCCAATTTACTGACCGATGATCCGATAATCCCAGTATACTATCATCATATGCGTTCGCGATTATTTTTGACCAACTTTTCTTGTAAGCAAGAAAGAAGATCGTAGTTATTTTTTATGACGAACAGGACAAATTAAACGAAAAAAATTCTTAATACATGAAACCCTAACGAAATTCATATCAGAATCCACCAAAAAAGGAGAGGAGTACTAAAAAGGGACGCAGAAAGAGTGATATGAAGTTTCAGTAGGTATTCTTTAGAGAATCAGATTGTATACACTTGATGTTTATTAATATAACCGTTGTTTTATAGTATATTTATAGAGCTCTGAGTTCAAGTTTCCTTTTGGTATGTTGACTATTGTATTATCTTTTAAATTGCACCACTTACAAATCCGTTGCTAAGCTTTGTCCTATTTATGTATTTATTAGGACTTATAATTGGTGTCGTGTTGTGATCTTGTGTTCTACTTACATAATCTCCTGAATCACTTACCCGACCGCTCAATTGACATCTTTGGTGTTGTTATAGTTTGAAACGTAGAGATTTGTGTGACCAATCGATTGTGTGATGAATATAATAACGGAACCAGTCGAATTATTGTTTTCGATGTATGTGAAAAACACAACGCTCAGGTATTTCAAACATGAAAATGTTCTTATAATAAGAAAAAGAAGCAACTCCACGTCAGTTATCAACTTAAAAGCTTTCGGTTTCCGTTGGAAAACGCACAATTAATTTCAACTAGTTTGAATGTAACTTGGAATAAACTTCGAGATAAGATAGCTAAAATTGCAAGAACTTTGATTTCTCATTGGTAAACGAAATGGTCATCCGGATTGTTTTGAAGTATTAACAGAGAAGACGTTTAACTATCTAATTAAATGAATAAATCGAGGTTCAATAATTTATGTACTAATTGCCAACAAATAAATACCCGATTATTTCGACCACTGTATCACTCTAAAATCAGGGATTTGAATCACAATATTCGTGTGGTGATTAACAAATTTGACCATAGCTGCAACCATGACGTACTGATTTACCAGTTTATTGTGCGTTGATAAAATATAAATACCCTTCATTAAATACATTATTTGCACATCTTCCTTCATTTGTCTTTTACATGCTTCACGATCCTTCTAATTCTGTTATTACAATTGCTATCTGTTTCCCTTCCTGTTTTCTCCAATTCAATCTTCTGCTAGTAGGCATCCCACTTCCGATTGCTGCTACGTACTACTTATATCTGTCAGTATAAGTAGCATGCATTAAACTACCATACCAAGCAGGTCGGTTGGAAAGTGGTAAAACTAAAAGCAGTAACTTAAGGTTCGAGGATGAACTCTTATTGTCGAGTGTACAGGGGTTACGACTGCAGCAAAGTGTTTCTCCTAGACAACTAGTATCTGCATTAATGATGCCTTCTCACGACAGTAAGAGGGGTTAGAATATATTGACTTTAAAACAGAATATCTCAAATTTCTTCACGAATTACGGACACTTGTGGTAAGTTCTAAAATGTATGGAGTCAGCATATTTGAAGATACTCGCAAAATACACGTGTGTGACCTATTTCAAGCAGTTGTCCCTTGTCTTATATATTCACTCCCACAAATCACCAAGACCACTATCAGACCAGTTTTGCTTTTAAGTTAGATCAAAAAGAAGTGATACTACGCCACCTTCCAAGCTAAAATAGGTACGATGTGGTTCGGATCTGTGACATTTTCGTCGA